AATTTGAAAAATGAGTTGTACTCCACGGAAGTAACGACTGTCGAGGACATAAAAATAAGGATTACTCGGGCTTTCGACAAAATAAAAAATTTTGCCGCCAATGGTGACCTTCTTCGCAAGGTCCGAAATAATATCGTGCGACGATGTCAGTTATGCATTCGGGCACACGGCGGACATTTTGAAAATCTAAAAGTTTAATTTGATTTATTTATTAAACTATAATGACCGATAAGAGTGATTATTTGGATAAAAACAATACCATAAAGTCTGTGATTTGTTTATAACATCGCTTGAGCATCGTCTTACACGTGCCTAGTTGCCTATGTATGGGCAAGTGTAGGTAACCTTTGTCAATGCCGCCGTGTCGCCGCGATGTTGCCGCTTTTACAGGTCAGTAAACTAATATTATCCAGGATGATTTATTTCGTGTAATTTTTTACGCTATTTATTTTGTTTGAAAGATGCACTTTTTGTCTTTTGGTATTATGGTTTATTTTATTATTGCAACAGACATATATCAACTTGCATTAGCTGCTGTGCTATAAAATGCGATAACCTAATCGCCCCCCAGTATAATTAATGGAGTAAGTTAATTTGTTACCTCTGATTTTAAATATTTTGGAAATTATAATAAAAACTACGTTTTAACTTTCATACAAAGTAATTAATTATTCTTATTTTGGTTTATTCATGAATGGTCTATCAAATATATCTTATTACCTATTTTTTATTAATTATAATTTCATATAAATTATATTTCATAACCTATTTTATATTGTTTCATTTATTAGTTCAATAACAATACTTATAAAAATATATTTATTTCAATTATGTTAAATTCTATTCATTTAATAAGCTTTGTATCCCTTTTTTTAAGAGGACGCAATAAATATTTTAAAATGAAATATACTTTTTTACTCATAATTTAAAAACAATTAACTGCAGCTTAAAAAAAACTCATTTTTATGGCGTATTTTGAGTAAAATTTCATATAGTAAGCCACACTAACCCACAATTGCATGTTTGTGTGTATATCTTTATCTGATCTTAGCAACGGTGTTGTTTTCGCAACTTGTGTATGTGAAACAGATATATGTTTATTCGAAATATTTAGTAATTTCAAAGCTACGTCGTCGCGGTTGGATAGTGGTAATATGGTTTGCTCCTCTAGTTTTTTTTAACTCAATGCTAAAAACCATCATAAAAATTACAGGGTTGAAATTAACATATTATTTTACAAATCTTTTATTATATTTGTCACTGCACCAATTACAAAATCTATCTTAAAGCACATTCTTGAGCCCACTGTTTTGTACTTACGATACACAAGCAATTACGATAAAACACTCAAAAATATGAAACAACAAGAAATAAGCACATGCACAATCCAGCGGACATATTCCTAAAAAAATTTAATTTGATTCAGTGTTACCTAATGAAACAAATTTTAAACTTCTATTTTTTACTATTTCTCCTTATAATATAAACTTCACGTATGTAGCAAATATAAACTAATTTGAATTTAGAACTATGGAGGGATTTTTTGTTATTTATTATTTTGGAAGACAAAATTAATTAATTTAGTAACACCATAATTTTTTTTCTTCGCCGCTGCATTCAAAGCAGTTTTCAAGCAACGGGACTGGAAAGGGTAAATAAACCTATTAACATCAATGGCGAGTACATCACTCGCCTTCGATTTACCGACGATATAGTCCTTATGGCAGAATCGCTCAATAGTGCCTCCCAACGGATAGGTTATATAGGCAGCTTTAGATGAACATGGACAAAACGAAGATCATGTGTAACGTCCACGTCACACCTATGCCGGTAGTTGTTTGGGAGTACTAAGCTCGAAGTTGTTGACGAGTATGTTTACCTGGGACTAATAGTCTCACTAGGTAAGTCCAAATTCAGCCGAGAGGTCACTCGACGGATTCAACTCGGCTGGGCAGCGTTCGGGAAATTACTACATGTCTTCTTGTCAGGTATACCTCAATACCTGTAAACGAGACTGTGCAACCAGTGCGTTTTGCCAGTGATGACCTACGGAACTGACACGTAGTCCTTCACTGCGCCACGGAGTGGTGTCACTTCAGTGAGCCACGGAGAGGGCTATGCTCGGGGTTTCTCTGTGTGATAAACTTAGAAATGAGGATGTCCACAGTAGAACCAGAGTGAACGACATAGAACAACGGATTAGTAAGCTGAAGTGGCAATGTGCCGGCCATATATCTTGAAGAACCGACAACCGATGGGGGAAAAGGTTCTGGAATGGCAGCCTCGTACCGGTAGGCAAAGTGAAGGGCGACCCCCCACTAGATGGGAGTGACGACCTGGTAAGACATGAAGGAAGTCGATGTATGCAGGCGGCTCAGGGCCGTGCTTTGTAGCATATCTTGGTGAGGCCTACGTTCAGCAGTAGACTTGTGATGGGCTGTAACGATGATGATGATGATATTTTTTTATGTAGTTAGTAAATACAATAACATATAACAATAACTTGCTTAATAGAATATGATTATCTTTTTAGTATTTCCTTTATATCTATCATTAGAATTATTATTATAGTCAACCAAATCTAAGAAATACATTTTGACAGCTGTCAGATTTATTGCACCAAGCATGCCAATCAAAAAATGGGAATGTACAATATTCGATTCTTTAAAAAATCGATATCGATTATTTAGAGTTGGTAATCATTTAGTTTGGTTTGAATAATATCATAATAAATTTAAAACGGATAATTTAAAACACAAGATTTATCATTCGTATTTGTTGTTACTGCTTATTTCTAGAGGCACAGTTATAAAAATTAAGATTGAAACTAGATTAAAAATAAATTTATTCAATCACTTTCAGTACAACTAGTAGAGATGTCGTTGTTTTTTTTATAGGAAAAGGTTGACAAGCGAGCACACAGTCCACCTGTTGGTAAGTGGTTGGTGTGGCCCATAGACATCTACATCTACCCTCGTTTGCGAATCAAAATGAAGATGCGTTGTCAGCCTTGAGTTCTAAGATGGAATGCCTCTTTTCCAGTAAAAAGGGTCTCCGGTTCTCTACACTCACCATACGAAACACAGCAGCATTAAGTTGCTATTTTACGCTAGTATTCTGTGAGAGCGTGGTCCTACCCCAGTTGAGCCGACCCATTCATGCTACAACTATAATATAGATGTAGCGTGGCTCTACCACGTACAAAAAGAATATTATAGAAGAAACAGTCCAAAAAGTTAAAACCGAGTAACAAAATAAGAAGACAAACCAAAAATCACAAAATTACGCACAGTAAGCTCTGGAAACAGCAACGGAAACTTTTTTATTCAATATAGATTATCAATAATACTTATTGACAGTCACTTTTTTCATTTACCACTGGTTCACAAAAAAAACTTTGTCCTGGGAAGATACAGCAAGAAACCAAACGGGACTAGTTTAAAGTAAATAATAAGAGCTTACAATCATGCGTGTTACAATTAACAACACAAAACACGCTCGCGCTTCTCAGGAGTTATTATCATCCATAAATTCCTTAATATTAAAATACAAATAAATTTTTATACAAACATAGTTTAAAAAAGGTTTTTAACTATGTGTATTTACGTCAAATTTTGTATATTTTCTGGGATTTTGTTGTAAAAGCGTATACATCGCCCCATAAATGAATTACTGACACTGTGGAATCGAGTAACTGATACCAAAATGGCGGGATATTGAAATTATGTAGTGGTTATTTTAGTACGGCCTTGTATATGATTTTTATGCCTACACAAATTTACTTTGACAAAGTAAAAAAAAAATAAACTTATTTTATTCATGATTCACGTAATTTGAGGAATTTTGAAAATAAAAATTAAATTAAACAAATAATACATTAAAAATTAATGATTCGATTATTTGAAAATTTTTACCGATTATTTGAATATTTTGCCGATCATTCGAATATAAACGAATTTTAATCATCCAAGCACTACGGTAATTATACATACACGACATGCGACATGCGACATATCATAGAAACGACGTCAAGTGAAAAAGTTAATACTGGTTATTTTTTAATATTTTGATTTGTTTGAAATATTCAAATTTAAATTAGTGATAAAAAAACTATAAACGTTGTAATGTAATATAGATAACTTCATAATTCTTCGGATTTACGTAAAAGGTTATTTTAAATTCTGTGAGTGCGCTGTTGAAAAGTTATTGCGGAATGATTAATGTGAAACGTCAAAAGGGAGATGAGACATACTTGCAAAATTTAATACCAGGGCTTTTAAGTACGAGTATGGAAAAATACCAGGGTCGAAAACCAGGTTCTAAAAATACTTAAAAGTATTTGTTGACGCGAGCGACGTGTCCAGCCGCGGTGTCAAAATTTGAAAATACTTGCATAGGAATTCGACCCGTATTGCATGTTATCCTATTACGAATACGGAGCAAAGTCGTATAAATAAAAAAAATACTTTGAAGTACAAAGTATTTTTTATTCACAAATACGATTGAGTTTCTTATTTCTATTAAGATATGGATTATTTTCCTATGCAAGTATTTTCACGTATAGTGTTCAAGTTATTCGAGCATCTGTCTTACAACATGTACTTTCATACATGCAAGTATTTTTTTGCTCGCGCCGTATTGTTAATGTCAATATAATAATATGAATGACTAGTTCGAGTCGGGCCACAATTACGAGTATTATGTTTGAACGTTTTTTAATTTTTTGTTAACGAAATGAAATCTTTCCTTCCTACTTTTTAAATCACAGGCTTAGGACTGTCTGCTAAATAATATTTAAGAATATATTATATTCTGTGGTTTTACAGTATTTTGACATGAGCTAGAATAGAAACTTGTATTAGCAGGCGTAGTTAAAAGATTTCATTTTATATACATACATGATTTTGTATTTCTTTTTGTTATTTTAGTTTTTCTTGTATATTTTTTTTGTTATTTTTTATATTTTCTTGATACTTTTTACTTTTTGTTAATATTTTGATTTATTTTTTATTTTGTTGTAGAAACAATAACTGTTCTACTTTACGACTCCCCAGACGGGTCCTCCTCTCCGTTAGTATGTTCCCTGCTATGGAAAACAACCGTTCACAAGGCACGCTAGAGGCCATTGCGTTTAATTTTATTTTGGCTAGTTTAGCTAAATTTGGATAAATTGTCTGATTTATTCGCCACCACTCCAAAGGATCCATATCTGGAGACAAAACTGTGTCATCTAGATATTTTTGGGTTTCAATGATTGCCCTGCTATTGGCGGTTCCAGCTGGTCGTACATTTTGCATTTGCCTGTTGTAGTGCTTCCATAACAGACTGTTAGATTTTTGTCCCTGGTTATCTGGCTCATCAGAAGTTGATGCGGAAGACTGACATCTTTCATTTTCATTAATCATAGTGGTTACTAGGCCTATGATATGCTTTTTCGTATTGTCCGCAACGTTTCCACTCTCAAAGTATAACTTATACCTCGGGTCTAAAAACATAGCAACAGTGTAGGTTCGACTCTGTTCCAAATTAGAAAATCGCGTGCTTATTTCTGAGAGGAGATCCTGTCGGCACATTTCAACTTCATCAGGGAAAACGTCAATGTTATTTTCTTACCGATATGTCAGACTGGCGATCTCGTTGAGAGCGCTGGTGAGACCAATTGTTAACGGAATGACTGAGCTTCCACTTACATATCTTTGGTCGCTCATTTCTCTCGTCACTTCTTCACACGGTTGCAACACTATGATCAACGACTGACATATATCCCATTCATAACTGGTCAACATAATTAAATTACCTGTGTCTAGATTACTGAGTGCACATTTAATTTCGTCTTTTAGTTCCACGAACCTGTGTAACATGTAGAATGTGGAGTTCCACCTTGTAACAACATCTTGGATTGGCCTCTTTACGACTTTATTAGCCTGTTCTTGATATTTTTTCAATTTGTTCCATGCTAAATTACTTCGTTTGAAATAGGAAACTATAGCCTTCACTTTACTAATTAAATCGCTTATGTAAGAACTTCCTAATACTTTTTGGACTGCCAGGTTAAGCGTATGCGCATAATAGCCAAAATGTTTCCACTCTAACTGAGCTATAGCACTTTTGATGTTGGCACCGTTATCTAATACTGCAAGGAGGACTTTATTAAGAATATTCCACTCTTGAGCGACATTTCTTAACTCTTCGGCTAAATTTAGCCCTGTGTGACGACTCTCTAACACTTTACATTCAAGGAGCACTGATTGCAAACTATAATTTTTATCATCAATATAGTGACCCGTAACCGCTAAATACGAGTCATTATTTCTCGACGTCCACATATCAGTCGTTAAGCATATACTTTTTGCATCTTCACTTAGAGCTGCTTTAGTATTAGTTTTAACTCCTCATACCACCCCCGCAATAAATTATTGGCGAAATATTTTCGCGATGGTATAATATAATTTGGGAAAGCAAACTTTATTAATTCGCGAAACCCCTTGTCTTCCACTATAGAAAATGGCTGCAAGTCAAATATAAACAAATTCATCAAATGATCATCAATTTGCTTTTTTATTTTTTGACAATCGCGTCGAAGGAATGCTGAGATAGTGGGCATAGTGGCTGTATTGGACCTTATCGTATTAGGTGGTGCGTCAGTTTGCAGTGGAGTATTGGAAATTGTAAATTGTGTACTTTGTAAAGCATGCGCCGGTACCTTTTGCTCCTTTCTCATTAAATTAACAGAAATATGTTTTCTCTGTACATGTTTGGTAAGGTTTGATACTCCAGATTTGTACGATATAATTACTTTACACATCTTGCATTCGGCTTTATTTTCTCCTTTGTCCAAAAAATGATCCCACGCCAAACTTTTCTTAGGAGCCATACTTATGGATTTGTATGTACGAAGATCTATTTACTATTCACAACAAGAACCTATGATCTATACACAAAAACACTATTTACACACTATTATTTACAGTTTAAACATCGTCATTTCCAACTAATAAACACAATAATATTCAGTTTTATTTATTTACGTACTTAAACATTAATTAAGTAAACTTTAAAAATTGTCTCTAAATTCAATAAACACGCAAAATAACTTTAAAAATTAGGTCACGGTCAGTAGGTTACGTACTCAGTTCACAATAACAACTGAATTTACAAAAAATCGAAACAAAACTTTTACTTCCTCGAACATAAACATAATTCTCTTATTTACGAATAAATAAAATACACGCAATAATGTCTCTTTTGTATACAGATATAAGGGTGAATGGTGCAAAATAGTCAAAAGAAATTTTATGAATAGCATGTTTAGGCAATTATGCTCCTTAATTAGTTTCGTTTTAGTTAGCTTATTTGATTGACAAGTTCCCGATCCGATCGGATGGCATGTGCATTAAGTACCTACACAGATTTCCGTTCAAGCATTCGGCCTTCGTCGGAAATACTAGGGCTCGACAACCTACACTCTGCGAGTCTCTCCCGCCAACGCGTCGAGCGAACCCCGCGTTGCTTTCGGTGTCAAAATTTGGAAATACTTTGAAATACTTGCATAGGAATACGACCCGTATTCCATGTTATCCTACTATGAACAAGGAGCAAAGTCGTATAAATAAAAAAAATACTTTGAAGTTCAAAGTATTTTTTATTCACAAATACGATTGAGTTTCTTATTCCTATTATGATATGTATCATTTTCCTATGCAAGTATTTTCATGTGTTGTGTTCAAGTTCTTCGAGCATCTGACTTACAACACATACTTTCATACTTGCAAGTATTTTTTGCCCGTACCAGGGCGCCGTACTTTGAAGCGAAAACCTGGTAGCGTAAATACGTCTCATCAGGAAGGCATTTCTTAGATTTGGTGGATATAGTCCACCATATCTAACATAATGTTTAAATTTTTAGGGCGGCCACACTATCTTGATTGATTTACATAAAGTAGCAAAAATGCAAGATTCCAGAGCAGCTATAAATAAAAAAGTCTTAAGTGTTTCATAAATGAATGACTAGATGGCGGTAGTATATATATAACCAAAGATAAATAAATATGTAGGTAGCAACCACAAATAGGGGTTGTCAACTGAACGTCAATAACGGTTTTACGCGTTTTTGTTGTCATTTTAATTATTTTAAGTTTTCTTGTAATATTCTGATTACATTCCTTTTATATTTTAGTATATATTAATAATATTTATTTGCATTTTCATATTGTATCTCATTTAGCGACAATTTCATACTATCACAAAATAGTTTAACGTAGCCTTAGTCTCTCGGTCGCCATGTCTAATCCAATTCCGCCTAAGCCACCGGATTCGAATTATTCTGACTAACATTATTTCCTCACCAGCTGCTTATGTGGAAATTGAAAATGATTTAGAAGGTTCATTTAAAAAACCACGGCAGTCATTATCGCAAGAAATTTTTGATGACAACTTCAAAATTATTTCAAACAAAAAGAAAAGAAAACATAAAACGAAGGAAAGGAAGAAGGAAGAGCATGCTAATCGGGTTGACATAAATAGAAGAATTTCAGCTTTTTCCACCAATTCCTCATTCTCAGAATCGGACTACGATACTGGTAATACTTCATCATCTAAAATTAAAATTGTAGGCTCTAACTCTATCAAAAGCAATATGTCAGGACAACGTGCTTATGAATCTCCCATGTCTTTATCATCCAATATTGCTTGTACACAATCATCTGAAATCCCTCTTTCACAATCATCTGGCATTCCTCTATCACAAACATTAAATTCTGCCAATAGTTATATCTCTTCTAAATCTCTTAACACGCATATTGATAGCGATAATAAAAAAATAGAGTCACAAAGATTTCAATCTCTTCGTTCTTATAATTCTACAGATTCAGGTCCTTTTATCGTTCATGTTCAAGTAAAAGAAGACTCTCCTAATTCTGGTAAAACTTTAAATGCCATTTCATTTGGTCACTTTTTGAAAAAAATTAAATGTACAAAATATAGTTAATGGAGGCCTAAAACGTATCGGGAGAAATAGAATAACGGTTGAATTCTCTAAATTTATTGATGCAAATCTATTTTTAGAGAATCCATCCGTAAATGATAAATATACAACCTTTATTCCATCATTTCACGTATCTCGTATGGGAGTTATAAAAGGTGTACCAAAAGATTGGACACCAGAAGAGATTATTTCCGAATTATCTTCGTATCCAAATACCATTCCTGTATTAAAAGTAAGAAGATTAAATTACCGAGTTCGCAACGAGGACAAAGTCAGATATGAAAGCTCTGAAAGTGTCGTAATCACATTTGACGGTCAAATTCTTCCCTCGAGGGTTTATTTATGCTATTCTTCCATTCCTGTTGAAATTTATAAGCTTCCAACGATCCAATGCTTTCAGTGCTGCAGATTTGGTCATACTAAAGATTTATGTCGTTCCAAGCCAAGATGCTCAAAATGTGGAGGTGATCACTCCTCTTCTTCTTGCGACAAAGATAATGGATCTTTTCGTTGCTTATTTTGCTCAGGTAACCACAAAGCCACAGATTCTAGATGTCCTGAACACACAAGACAAAATAATATTAAAATTGAAATGGCACAAAAGTCTATCTCATACCTAGAAGCATCTCAAAAATATCCACAAGTTTCTTCAAAATCATATGCTGATGTTTTGATTTCTAAATTCCCTGAAAATTCTTCGCTTTCTACTAATCCTACAGTGAATAATTTTCCTTCCAACCCCGCTACATCTAATAAAACTTCTTATAAGAAAACATTATATATTCCTAAACCATTACGTCACCATTCACAAACAGGATACGACAAAAAAAGTCATCAAAAAATTATTGATGATTTTTCAATTCCGCAACCTGATGATGGTTGTGCTCTTCGGGTTTCACCAGTTACTTCACAGGGTAATTTTGATTCTGTAGAAAGCATTATAAGTTTCCTTATTAACATAATCATATCTTCGTATTCGTCGAAACTACCGTCCCACGTTGCTCGCTTACTAAATTCTATACCTAAAATTCTCCAAGACATTCACTCTCACAAAGATCCTTCAATGGAATTGTAGAAGCATTTTAGATAAACGTACTGAAGTAATCTACTTATTAAAGAAATACAGTGTGTGTATCGCTGCTATTTCAGAGACATGGCTAAAACCGGATTCGAATATCAGAGTACCTGGTTTTTGTCTTGTTCGAAGTGACAGATCTGATGGTTATGCCGGATGTGCTTTGCTTATAAAAAATAATATAACTTATTCCATTATAGATGTTTATGATGAAATATTTGACTTTAATATTGTAGCAGTAAGAATTCAAAATATAACTTTCGTTTCTATTTATGTTCCCTCCCCTTCTGTCCATACGTTTCGCAGAAGAAAATCTTTAATAGCCTCCTTACCCAAACCATTTATAATTCTTGGTGACTTTAATTGTCATCATTATTTATGGGGTGATAATACTGATAAATACGGTAGTTTATTAGTTGAAATAATTGACGAACTTAATATTTGTGTCCTTAATACTGGTAAAATTACCAAACGCTCTCGTCCTAATGAGTCTAGAAGTGCTGTAGATTTATCAATTTGTACTCCTGATTTAACCACTCTTCTAAATTGGTCAGTTCTAGATAGCTCTCACGGCAGTGACCATTTTCCCATTCTGATTTCCTTTCCAAACAAAGAATTGGCAGAAATTAACAAAAAACCATGTATTAAATACAAATTAGACAGAGCAGACTGGAACCTGTACAATATTTTTCTTTACAATGAAATTCTAAAAATCGCTCCTATTTCTGAAAATAATATAACTTCTATTGTTGAAGCATTTACAAACGCAGTTATAAATGCAGCAGATCAAACAATTCCTGTTAAAACTCTAAATAATAAATGTAGGCCCTCCCCTCCATGGTGGGATTCTGAATGTTCTGAGGCCATTCGTAATAGGAAAAAAGCCGAAAAACAATATAAATTAGACATGAGTTCGGAAAACTATTCATACCTTCAACGTGTACAAGAAGTGACTAAAAATACTCTTCGCACAAAAAAACAAACACGTTGGCATGCCTTTTGTTCCTCAATTTCTCCTTCAATACCTTCATCAGTTGTTTGAAAATTTCGCTGTTGTTTTTCATCTTGTTCTTACGGTGGTGCCATTCCCTCTCAATCTATAAACACTTTTCTAGATAAACTTGCCCCCCTCTTCTGCTCCTTTGAGAGAGGAGCTACCTCAAAGTATTCCATGTGATTCTTTTTTTGGTCCCTTAGAGCGTCCATTTTCTTTATATGAATTAAAGCTCGTCCTTTCTCACGTTCAAGATTCAGCTCCTGGTTTAGACGGTATTCCATATTCACTACTTGCCAAATGTAATGGTCAAATTTTATCCTATTATTTAAATATCATTAACGTTTTGTTTGACATAGGCTTTGTTCCTGACTGTTGGCGGACTCAAGTAATTATTCCTATCTTGAAACCTGACAAAAATCCTAACGACGGCTCTTCTTATAGACCGATCGCTCTATCCTCAACTCTAATTAAAACCTTTGAACATATGATCAAGAACCGTCTTGAATGGTATGTAGAAAGTCATGGATTGTTATCAAATTCCCAATATGGATTCAGAAAAGGTAAAAGCACATATGACAGTCTCTTTATCTTCACCACAGATATTAGACTAGCATTTTCAAGAAATGAATCGGTCCTTGCTGCTTTCCTTGATATTTCTTCTGCTTACGATAATGTCAGACTCAACATCCTTAGAGAAAAGATGTTTAAGCTTAATATATCCAAAAAACTTACAAATTTGATTATCAATTTATTTCTAGATCGATATATACATATTAAAATTGATGATGATCTAAAATATACTCGAAAGGTTTTTAAAGGCCTTCCACAAGGCTCTGTTTTAAGTCCTTTATTATACAATATTTATACGTCAGATTTGGACCAGTCTATTTCAAAGTGTAGAATTTTGCAATATGCTGATGATATCTTAGTTTATGTTAACGATAAATGTATAGAATCTTGTGCTAATGCGATAGAACAAGATCTCCTCTCTATGGCCTCTTGGTTAGATGATCATGGGCTAGAACTTTCCCCAAATAAAAGTAATACAGTAATTTTTTCTCGCAAAAGAGTTTTACCTGAAATCCAAGTTCGCCTTTTTGATTATCCGCTCGTAAATATTCAACAAGTTAAATTCCTTGGTGTAATTTTTGATAATAAATTATCCGGCATGCCTCATATAATTTATACCCAAAAAAAATGCGAAAAAAATATAAACATTCTTAGAGCTTTGTGCGGGGTATGGTGGGGCGCTCATCCATATTATTTAAAATTAATTTATAATGCAATTATAAGAAGCCGATTAGATTATGCCTCATTTCTTCTTGAACCAACTAGTAAAAAAGGATTAAAAATATTAGATATCATTCAACACAAGTCTTTAAGATTAATTATAGGCGCTATGAATTCGTCGCCTATCAATGCCTTGCAGATTGAATGCGGTGATCCTCCACTTTTTATTAGACGACAATATTTATCGGATTCCTTTTTTATCGGGTTCTTCAATTTTCAAACCATCCATTACTACCTAAAATTCGTTTGCTTTCTCAGTACATTTCAATTAATTCAGGAAAATACTGGCGTAATAAAGAAACTCCTAACCTAGTTAAAAGCTATGAACATTATAATTCCTTACTAGATCCTATTTATAGGTCGGCGACTCTGCCTCTTTTCTCCAATTCGTTTGAAGTTGCACTTTTCAAACCCAATGTTATATTAGATATAGGATTAAATAAATTTTCTATTGAATCAAATAAAAGATTTGTATTTACGTTGGACAAGAATTTCCCAGATTGTCATTATATTTTTACAGATGCTTCTAAGACTAACTCAAAAGGTTGTACTGGATATGCAATATACCATCAAAATTGGAGAATAGTTCAAAAAATGAAAAGTCCTCCCGAATCTTCAGTTTTTACTGGAGAAATGTTAGCCATTTTACAATCAATAAAATATTGCTATCTTTTTTAAATTAAAATCAAGTGTGATATTTTCAGATTCTCTTAGTTCTTTACAAGCATTGTTATGTAATCCTTTCTATGACATTTCCCGCAATCCTTTGATATTTGAAATTAAGAAACTTCTATTCTTATACCAATTTCAAAACATCAACATTTCTCTCATTTGGATTCCGAGTCATATTGGTATATCTGGTAATGAATATGCTGACAAACTTGCTAAACAAGCTATAGTCTGTGGGGATACTTTCTTATTTAAAAATTATTGCTATGACCTTATAAGAACTACGAAATTAGTATATAGAGATAGATGGTCAAAACATTGGAACAAAACCAAAACGACAAAAGGCTGTCACTATGCCAAAATTCAACCCATCATTCCTTCTAAGCCTTGGTTTTATAAATTATCCTTAAATAAGAAACATACATCAATGTTATGTAGAATGCGCTTGGGTCACTGCTGTAATTCGGTTCACCTTGCTAGGCTTCATATTAAAAATTCTTCAATATGTGAATGTGGTTTGGATATTGGTGACCTCAACCATATTTTCTTCTCGTGTCCGTTATATAATCATACTTCATTATTTAACACTTTGGTAAATCTTAAAATTCCTCTTCCTACAGAAATTTGTTCTCTTTTAATTTTTTCTAAAAAAAGTAAAAATGTTTTCAATTGTCTTATGGAATTTTTAGATTTAAATAATATTAGATTATAAAATTTTATTCATTATTTAGCTATCAATCGTCTTTATTTAGTAATACTGATTATTTTTAATGTGGTATTGAGTTTAGTATTATTTTAATTCAACCTAATATCCATCATTTATTTAATATACTTCAGTACAAGTCATTTCATGATTCATTATTATAGTATTCTATGGTTCTTAACATTATGATTTTGGTTTTTAATCAGAATCGTAGTTTCTCTTTAGATTGTCCGTCGTTTCGTTTCAAGTTACAAGTATTTTTATTGACTGGAGGTTGGCAGTAATTGTAAGGTTGCCATATAAAAAAAAAAAAAAAAAAAAAAAAAAAAAAACCACAAATAAGAGTTATAACCAACAATGAAATTTCCACTGACTTAGAAGTATATGGAAATTTCTTATTTCTTAGATTCTTAGAAGATACATAACATAGCATGTTCACTGTTTAGTGCATCTTTTTTTATTCATACCTGCAAACATTCGTAAGATCATGATAGTGTGAGGAATTCGCAAAATAGATAAGATTTGTGTGGCACACCTATATAAGGTGATTTTTTTATATAACGTGAATTTTTTTATATAAGGTGAATTTTGATAGCGATAAAATACAAAGTAAAATTTGTTTTAGATGAGCGACTCGTGTGTGGAGACTTCAGAAGCACCAGCTTGGCTATCCAAATTAGAGAGTCAGCGCGAGAAATTGAGTAAGGCGCGGCTTGGTCATGACAGTGGTGCCGGTGCTCCTTGTAATTCTTGTGGTAAGTAGATAATTGAGTCGATATATTGATGTAGTCATCAAAATGATCATTCTTTTAAATGTGAACAGCAGAAACTGCATTAATTGGGTGACATGACTGAAAGTTCTGCAAGCCCACATCCCACAACAAGGTGATGACTCATAGTCACTTTTAATCACCTTCCACTGGTTAGTATTAGTGTGTTTGTCAAATTCTTTTTGTCACAGAACATTGTCTGTCAACTGTAAGAAACTAAGGCGGCTGTGCTGATTGATTCAACAATGACACCTTACAAAGATAATATTGATAACAAAATTTTCATAAAGGAGATAGAAATTAATCAGCACATCGAAACTCTTTATAGACATTTTTAAATATTCAAAAATGCGATTGCTTTTAAGTATATTGTTGTAGTGCACTAAACCAAATGGCTACCAATAGGGTAAATCTATGATAAGCTGTGAACTATGGGTTGTAATGGAGTGCAAATAATTAGCACATAGTATACCTAAAGGTTAGCGGATGCTGTTGCCCATAGATCTACATCTCTACATCCTCAATTAAGAATCAAAATGAAGATGCACTGTCACCCCTGAGGACTGGGATGGAATGCCTCATTTCCAGTTAAAAGGGTCTCCGATTCTCTACACTCAATAAAAAATCAGCAGCATTGAGCTGATATTTTACGCCAGTAAAGTCTGTAAGAGTGTGGTCCTTTCCTGTTTAGTCAATGCATTCATGCTACAACCATAATATAGCTGCAGCATGGCTCTACCATGTAAAACTTATTCAGCCCTATCAAATCCACTACTCAACATAATCTTTTCAAGAATGTAGCGTGAAATAAAAAATACTTATTGTGAAATACAACTTGAAATAAACTTTATTAAACTAAGTTTGTATAAAAAGGGTTATTATAATAATAGGGTTGGATTTAGAATCGTTTGGCAGGAATTTGGGGGAGTAAGGTGTTTTATTTGGTAGAGGTTTGGTCCCCGATTATAATAATACCACTCACATTAAAAGGTAATGCACCGTTATCGAAAAAATAAATAAAAACTATTATAACCTTAAATATGTAACGTATGAAAAGTGATACATTTTTTTATTAACTGAATTTACGGCTCTGGATTCTAGACTTTCTGATCTGAAAAGATGGATAGCATACAGAATTTTGTGTCTGTGGAGGGAGCAAAGGCAAGCTGACTATAGATACCTGTTCTGATCGAATCTGTACTAAAATTAAATTAGCACAGCCCAAATCCACATATACTTGTCTGCCCTACTCCTAAAGTGTTTTTGTAAAGCCGTAGGTGCGGAGGGAGAGCAGCCCCCCGCCCGTCGTAGCAAATCGCAGGCACCTGTGCGAGTCGTAGTATGGTTATTATTGTATTATATTAAAAGTTAATATTTTGGTGTTTTGTTGAGTGCAAGAGCGAGCGAAGCGAGCGGGACTTAGGGCACCCCGATTCGGACAGGTTAGGTTAAATTTAGCCATTCCCTTCGTGGTTATTTGTTTGTAAACCACTCAGAAGTAGGAGCCCCGATTCGCGGGGCTCCGTCGACCGGCTTTCCCTCGACTGCGCTACGTGCTGCTTCCCTCCTCTAACTCCTCTCCCCCATAAATCAGGATTATAGTCAAAAACATTACAAAAAGATAACCTCAAAGTTAGATAGAAGCACGTCCACGAAGTGGGGGGCGAATCTACAATTCCTCCGCCTCCCTCTTCACCACCTCCCATCCCCTTAATTCATTTTGAGTTATGATTTTGAGGTTAGTTCTATGGGATTTTCTTTTTGATTTTTCTCAAGAACGGTGCATTAACTTTTAATGGGAGTGGTATTATAATTGGGGACCAAATCTCTACCAAATAAAACAACTTACTCCCCCGAATTCCTGCCAAACGATTCTAAATTTCAACCTAATAATATTAAGGAATTTATGGATGATAATAACTTTGGGGAAAAAACCAATAAAATTTGAATTGAATAAAAATACTATTTCTGTTTCTCATTGTATTTCGGTGATTTGTTCTGATTGACATGCTAGGCAAGTGAATGGTTACAAACACAAGATGGCTCTCTAACAAAAGCCCACCTCTAGCAACATCCAGATTACAAAGTAGAGTGGCAGAGTCTCATATTAAACACAGCTTTTTTATTATATCAATATGACTAACTTCAATAGAAATCTAATCAATTCAATAAAATATTGTTACAGGTCCAACATGCCCTGGTTTAGACCTTCACTTTTGGCGAAAGGTTTGTCGTTCATGTCATTGTAGTAAGGATGTACATGATGTACAAGATGATGATCTGTCTGGATGGGCTCAATTTGAGCTACTGGGAACTAACAGACCTAAAAATGCTTCATGTAAGTATGGTCAAAATAATATTAGAATTAAAAATGTCTTAATTTATTTAATTTATTTATTTAACTTCATATACACATTAGATGTATATAGGCGGACTTAATGCCTGAGGCATTATCTACCAGTCTACCTTAGTAAGAAGAATTAATTTCTGTGTTACACACACAAAATCTAAACTTAGTAAATTTTTTTTTTCAGTGCCCTTGGTTAAGATTCGAGGAGTGACTGACAAACCAGTCCAGTTGGATTGGGCACCCCCAAATGCTTCAACGGAATTGGTAATTATAAAAAAAATATTTTCTCATACTTAATCTAATCTGTGTTATTTTTGGACTTGGATCTACAAAAGTATTTGCTGATAAACTTCTATTGTCTCTTTTATATATTTCTATCTAAAAATATTAAGCCAAGCCCACTTGCATTAAATAATATAATATAATATATAATATAATAATTAATAGTTCCATTAATATTTAAAAATTTTACACAGACTGCATATGTCATCTGGTTAAAATTTATATGGTACCATTGTGAAACTCTTTCTGTAAGTAAATGTAGTGTGTTACATGAATTAAAAGAGAAGATAACTAAGTAAAGTTCATACTTCCCCCTCATGAAGTTGGTTAATTAAAAAGCAGATTAATAAAGAATATGTCGAAGTCTCTTGTAGGTTAAAAAAATTAAATACAAAGGAATCTCACTTCTTGTCTATAGTGATATAATTAATATAATAGGCATAATATAATATTAGGTATATACTGAGAACTCATGTTTCCAAGTTTATGTGATAAGATCTATCAGAAGGTCAAATGCGGTAATTGACACAGTATCCTCGTGCATATGACATGAAGATAACAAGTTGCACAATTTCACAATTTACTTTTTAATTTACTTTAATAATAGCTGTGCCCGTGACTTTGTCTGTGTGGAATTTAATATGATTGTATTTCATGGGTTTAATTTTTTTTTGCTTGGAATTCTTATTCTTATTCTTTAAATAAAAGTAGCCTAAGTTACTCCTCATAACATAAGCTATCTGCCAGTAAAAATCCCGTCATAATTGGTCTAGCCATTTCGGAGATTAGCTAGAACGAACAGACAGACAAAATTTTAATAATTGTTTTTTGTCATAGATACATACACTTATGCATTTAGTACAAAGCTGTCATTTTAACATTACAAATTTGTATAGATGTTCTCAATATTAAATGTTTTATTTATACAACAGAGATTGAATATTGTCATGCATTCAACTTGGTAGCACAACAAAAGACAGTAATTGGCGAATATTAAATAATATAATAAATTAAATTTACTTATTTATAAATATATTTTATTTTATAAATATAAAACTTTTGACTATGTATTTGTTTACTTTCTTAAAACAAACTTAAAAAAAATATTATGAAATATAATGATAACTAATGACCTACCTTCTTCATTAGTAAGAACATAACTCAAGCACTAGAATTATAAATCAAGACACATAATTCTTGAAATTAATCATGTTTATATTTGAATAATGTATTTGTTTTGTTGAAACAATGGTTTGTAGGTTCTAGGATTTTTATATTCATGTAAGTATAATAAATTAGATTAAAATGACTCATATTCATAACCTTTTTAAGAATGTTGCATTAATACCAAAAATTTGGGGTTGAATAACTCGATCACAAACAGACCAAATATTTTTATTTTCACTGTAAAAGTCCTGGAGTAAATTCAGAGTACAATTTATTGCATCACCTACACGAAAGGGCAAAACCGCTTCTACCAGTCTGGCTTGTGTCTCTATTTCATGTTAATATTATGTATATCATTATTTATGTTAACAAAATAATATACATAATATACATATACAAACTGAAGATAAAGATTTTCTCTATTTATGTTTCATCTTATGATTTTTAACAGCAGTTTTATCTTTTCGTTAGTTCATTTGTTGAAAGTTTATTTCTCAGGCTGGACTCACACATCCCGAAAGCCTTTCCGAATTCATAATCTAAATTCATATTATTAGTTAAGAAAGCCCGGAGTTGCATACAATTTAACTATGCTCTACACACATTTAGATTTTTTCCGATTATTACATTCCCAGATAAATCTGTAAGAATGACACTGATTAGCGTTCTGAATTCCGGATCAGTATATTTAAAATTATGATTTCATAACGCGCGTTTTTCTATAAATTTGAACACGCGAGCACCCACAGACCGGAATCAGAATGACTGTTTCAGCTGACCCTGCGAGTGATAACAACTTATGAAGCTGTAATGTAGAACTGACTTTTTCTTACTCTGTTCACATTAAGAGGATGCATCTAGTGTATTCGTTTGCGTCTCTTTTTTATTATTTAAAGCTAAAAATAGTGCTGTGAGTATTAATTCCTCTTCCATAACCAAGACGTGTGTGAGAAACATGAGACTACTGATTTATCTGAATTTTTAGGATATGTGTGGGGCAGCTTGGTTCAAATTGTGAATTCCGACTCTGAATTCAGAGAGGCATTCCGTATGTGTAAGTCAAGGCCTAGAGTCAGAAACTTCAATTACTATTTTGGGCTTGATTACTTACTTGATTTTTCTTTATTGTTGACATTATTTGCGATCTCAGGATATACACTATCTACTCGTTCAGCAGTTCTAATCATTATTCTTTCTTTATTTTAATTTAGAAGACATTTGAGATTCTGATATTCCTTAGTCCACTCAAAAATTAAAAACAAACACTTCACAGAAAAGAAAAAAATTCACATTCTGAAGTCGGGGCTTTAATACCTCTATACACTTTGTCTTCTTATCTTTAGCCGTGTAGTGGCGGTTGAGAATATCCACTACCCCATATCTTCCCGTGGGTGTCGTAAGAGGCGACGGAGGGACACAGAAAGGAGATGGGAAGCAGCATCTTCCTAATAACAACAATAACATAATAAAAAACTGCGGTTGCTAACTCGCTCGCCAAGCGTGGCAACTATGGCAAATATCCCCCATGAGCAACGACGCAAATAAACGGCCCCCAGTCCCCGCCGGCCCCGGTGCTAAAATCTCCGGTGGAGGTTCGGTTGCCACCTACGACGACTGGCAACGTATAACGCACGCACCCTGAGGACTGACGAGAAGATACTGGAGCTGGAAGAAGAGGTAGACAAGTTGCGCTGGCATATTATTGGATTATCTGAGGTCCGAAGAGAGGGGGGAGGACACGGTAATCCTCGAGTCCGGCAACTTGTTCTATCACCGGGAGGGCGAGCATCTGTCCCAAGGAGGTGTCGGATTTATCGTCCACAAGTCTCTCGTCAACAACGTTGTAAAGATTGGGAGTGTGTCGACGAGGGTCGCGTACCTGATACTCAGAATAACCAAACGGTATTCGCTGAAGGTCATACAGGTCTACGCACCAACCTCGGCACATCAAGATGAGGAGGTGGAGGAAATCTATGAGGATATTTCTAGAGCCATGCATTCCTCCAAAACCCACTACACGGTGTTGATGGGAGACTTCAACGCAAAACTAGGCACAAGAGAAGGCGGTGAGCTGAAGTTAGGGAAATTTGGAGTAGGACAACGGAACCGTAGGGGCCAGCAGCTGGCTGACTTTATGGAGAAAGAGGGACTCTTTATGATGAACTCTTTCTTCCAGAAGCGGCCCCATAGGAAGTGGACCTGGTCGAGCCCCGACGGTTCGACAAAAAATGAGATTGACTTCATTATGACGACCAGACGCCAACTGTTCAGTGAGGCACACTGAACCTAAACGTTAAGTTGGAGAGGTCTCGTCTAATGAAGTCAACGCTCCGTCCCCCTCGTGCTCTAATCCAGAATCCCGAGACTTTTCAGCTCGAGTTACGTAACCGCTTTCAGTGCCTAGAAGATTGCAATGCAGTGGACGATATGAATGACAAGCTCGTGGAAACTGTCCATGTGGTCGGAGCTAAGTTCTGCAAGACCCGCCGCAGAAGAACACAAAAACTTTCCGATCACACTCTTAATCTCATGGCTGTTAAACGGGAGATGAGGCTACAATCGTCAACAGATTTGACAGCATACAGGCAACTGAACAGACAGATCTCCAAATGCATGCGGCGAGACTTACGCAACTTTAATACTGCTGGTATTAAAGAAGCGATCGAGCGGAACCAGGGCTCCAAAATCTTTGCCAGAGATCTGTCTGCCAGAAAGAGCCAACTGTCAAAGCTGAAGACTGAGTGTGGCAGCATTGTTTCCGGGACACCTGAGATTTTGTGTGAGATTGAGAGGTTCTATGGGCAGCTGTACACATCATCGTTGGAGCCACACGCAAGTGTGAGTAACGATCCAAGAGCAAGTCTTACCCGACACTATTCCGATGATATCCCGGACGTCAGTCTGAGCGAGATTAGAATGGCTCTCCAGCACCTTAAAAACGGCAGAGCCCCAGGCGAGGATGGAATTACAGCGGAGCTCCTGAAAGCGGGTGGAACACCGGTACTTGAAGTCCTTCAGAAGCTCTTCAATTCCGTCCTCCATGGTGGCACTACTCCGGAGGCGTGGAGCAGGAGTGCAGTGGTCTTGTTCTTTAAGAAAGGCGACAACGCTCTCTTGAAGAACTACAGACCGATTTCCCTTCTGAGCCGCGTCTACGTGCTGTTTTCGAGAGTCATTACGAATCGTCTCGCACGCAGACTCGACGACTTCCAGCCTCCCGAACAAGCCGGTTTCCGAAAAGGCTTCAGTACTATAGACCACATACATACCCTGCGGCAGATTGTACAGAAGACCGAAGAGTACAATCTGCCACTTTGCCTGGCGTATGTGGACTATGAGAAAACCTTTAATTCCGTCGAAATTTGGGCGGTGCTACAGTCCCTTTAGCGGTGCCAAGTTGACTGTCGGTATATCGAAGTGCTGAAGTGTTTGTACATTAGGGCTACGATGGCTATCCGAGTACAGAACCAGAGTTCGAAACCTATCAGAGAGGTGTAAGACAGGGTGACGTTATATCCCCGAAACTCTTCACCGCTGCGTTGAAAGACGTTTTCAAGCTACTGGACTGGCAAGGATACGGTATTAACATCAATGGCGAGTACATCACTCACCTTCGATTAGACGCCGACGATATAGTCCTTATGGCAGAATCGCTGGAGGACCTTAGCACTATGCTCAATGACCTCAATGGTGTCTCCCAACGGATAGTTCTTAAGATTAACATGGACAAAACAAAGATCATGTTCAATGTCCATGTCACACCTATGCCGGTAGTTGTTGGGAGCACTATGCTCGAAGTTGTTGACGAGTACGTTTACCTTGGACAAATAGTCCGACTAGGTAAGTCCAACTTCGACCGAGAGGTCAATCGACGGATTCAACTCGGCTGGGCAGCGTTCGAGAAATTACGACACATCTTCTCGTCAATTATACCTCAATCTCTGAAAACTAAAGTGTACAACCAGTGCGTGTTGCCAGTGATGACTTACGGATCAGAGACGTAGTCCTTCACCGCTGGCCGTATGAGGACGCTCAAGGTCGCTCAGCGAGCTATGGAGAGGGCTATGCTCGGAGTTTCACTGCGTGATAGACTCAGAAATGAGGATATCCGCAGTAAAACCAGAGTGACCGACATAGCCCAACGGATTAGTAAGCTGAAGTGGCAATGGGCCGGCCATATAGCTCGAAGAACTGATAACCGATGGGGAAGAAAGGTTCTCGAGTGGCAGCCTCGTACCGGTAGGCGTAGTGTAGGACGACCCCCCACTAGATGGAGTGACGACCTGGTAAGACATGCGTGAAGTCGATGGATGCAGGTGGCTCAGGACCGTGCTTTGTGGCATTACTTGGGCGAGGCATATGTTCAGCAGTGGACTTGTGAAGGGCTGTAATGATGATAATGATGATGATGACACTTTGTCTTCTCGTCTTCAGGTCTCGTTATCACTTCTATGAAGTCTTCTTTCTGTTTTTACTTATTAAAGTTATTTTTTTTCTACTTGTTCAACTTGATCTAGTACTAAATCTAATCTTTTTTCAATTTCCAATATAGTAAGTCCACAAATAAATATATTTTCAATCAAAAATTCGACTCTTAAAACATTGAAAAATTCCTGGACATGCTTTTACTCCTAAAGCCTACCTTTGCGAAATGTATATAAAATCTTGCAGTGTTTAAGGTTAGAAGCTTGTATTGTATATTTTTAGTAGTAGTATGTATTTTTAGTCCATAACCAACTTTGTATGCTTAATTTAGATCTAAAGTTGTGAAAAATCTTCCTTATATCTATGGTACCAAAGACGTCATTTGTCAAGAGCGCTTATGATAAGTATCTGAATCTGTGCTTTATTAAGCGTACTGCACTAATCGTCACATAAGCAAATCTCTAGACGTTGTTTCATAGGCACAACTGATGTAATTAGCGCCATAAATGTGTACGTACCAGTGACGAGAATCGAAACCATCGACCAAATTGATCATGCCTTCGTTTTTCTAAATGCAGGAGGAATGACATAATACGTATTGTAATATTTGTGGATTAACAGTTGTTTTGTTTGTTTCTAGGTTTCAGAGTATATGTCATGTTTGGGTCCATTGGCACCAGTCTCCGGGTCGGCTGCTGCCCGAAAGTGGCGTGCTCAACTTCGAACTCAGCTACCGCCACACGATGTGGCCCCCGCTGCTCGCCACCATGCCACTGATCAAGAGAAGTCCGAGCACACGGTATGTTTAAATATAACCGTCTTCTATTATACCTGATTTAAAAGCGAGACCCAGAGCGGCGAGGCGAGCAGCATCAAAGGTGTGAAACGATCAGAACTTCGATCGCGAATTCCAAGCGATTACAGTAAATCTTTCTTATATATTAAATTTTTTAAATCATCATCATTCATCATTACAGCCCTTCACATGTCCATTGCTGAACATAGGCCTACCCTAAGGAATGCCACAAAGCACGGTCTTAAACCACCTGCATCCATTCGACTTCCTGCAAGTCTTACCAGGTCGTCACTCCATCTAGTGGGGGATAGCACTACACTACGCCTACCGGTACGGGTCTGCCACTCGAGAACCTTTTTTCCCCATCAGTGGTCGGTTCTTCGAGCTGTATGGCCGGCCCATTGCCACTTCAACTTAATAATCCGTTGGGCCATGTCGGTCACTCTGGTTCTACGGCGGATATCCTCATTTCTAAGTTTATAATGCAGAGAAACCCCGATAAGTAACCCTTAATTTTTTTATTGCGAGTTTAAGGATTTTTTTACAGGAAAGTCGTCGAAATGGGCAGAACAACGTCTGCCTGGCAAGCTAGATAAAAAAAAATAATATATATATATATATATATAACCGCTAGCCGAAGAAATCTGAAATTTGGATAGTAGCTACCTTTTATGACATAGGCATCCATTAAGAAATGAGTTTGAATTTTTTTATTTTTTTATAAAACAATAAGGTTTTTAAACAAGAGTGCAAAGTTTGTATCAATCAGCGCGCCTCGCCTCCGAAATACTTGAGCGAGACAAATAGTCGGCGCTGTTATCAGCGCTTCGTATACGAGGGCGGCACTGAAAATCTCGGGAATCAAGGAAGTGACACAACAATTTTGCTTTTCGAAGTATTTTCCGCGAAATTTGACACATTTTTCCATACGATGGACCCAATCACTGAAGCAACCATTCCATTCGGAAGTTGGGGTCTCCAAAATGGCAGTTTTGTAGGCGTCCACAGCTTCTTCAGGTGATGAAAATCTCTGTCCACGCAATTTATTCTTTATTTTAGGGAAAGTATAGAAATCATTAGGGCTTAGGTCGGGGCTGTACGGCGGATGGTCTAATAATTCTATGTTTTCTTGCTCTAAAAACTCTTTTTGTTCTGTGTGCGGTGTGAGAACTCGCATTGTCGTGATGGAGGATGATGCGGCGGTTGCAGTTCTCTTTACGGAGTTTAGAAACGACCTGTGGCAAACAAATGCTAGCATATCATTCTGCATTAACCGTTCTTTGTCCCTCAAGAGGAATTGTCGTAACATGGCCGGTTTTGGAGACAAACGTGGCCACCATTTTTATTGCAACACTCCGTGAACGAACAATTTCTGTTGGCTTTAACTCATTTTCGAACACCTAAACTCGTGACTGGTTTTGATTCGTCACCTGATACGATGTTGTATACAGCATTTGAGGATCCTGCGTGGAATCTTTCGAGAGTTCTGACGCACCAAGTAACGCGAGCCGCTTTTTGCTCTTCACAGAGCGAATGCGGTATCCATCGGGAAAACAACTTTTTTACACCTAATTGTTAATGCAAGATTATTTGTATTTGACTCATGCCAATGTCTAAAGTTGCCTGAATTTCGCGGTATGTCACATGTCGATCTTCCTCAATCAGCTTACGCACAGCATCAACATTTTCTTGGGTGACTGCAGTTTTTGGACGACCTTGACGGGGATCATCACTGAGCTTGACACGTCCACGTTGAAATTCAGCAAACCAGCGATAAATTGTGGTTTTGTATGGGGCCTCATCACCAAATGCAGAAATCATCCGGTCAACACACTGTTTTTGTGTTAAACCACTTCAAAAATCATAATAAATCATCGTTCTTGAATTTTCTTGAGTCAATTCCATTTTCTCAACGACTAAACAAGTTTGACAAAACCTTGTGACAAGACCGAGAATCTTTTTTTAAATAAATAAATAAATGGTATTCGATTTTTTAAAACCAAGGAGTTTTCAATGAAAAAGATTTTAATATGACAGGAACAGTGGAAATATTCCATTCCCGATACTTTTAGTGCAGCCTAGTATACCTACTCGATCGTATAGTTATATGCGCTTAGAAACATTGCGTATCTCTGTAGTCGATTCACCGATACTTCCGGAATGCATTCGTACGGTCCGAATATCGAAATTAGTGGCTTATGATCTGTTCTTAATACTAACGGGTTTGTTCCACCGTACAAATGCAGATGGAAGCACCGAACTCCAAATATAATTGCGGTCGCATCTTTCTGTATTTGTAAATATCGTTTCTCTGCGGTATTTAGAGTTCGCGATGCAAACGAAATCGGCCTTTCTTGCCCGTTGGAACCTACTTGCGATAGTATCGCACCCAAGCCAACCGGAGACGCGTCTACGGTCGGGATTAGCCTTGCTTCGGGCTTGCAGTGGCCGAGTACATGTTCTGAAGCTAAATAGCCGTTTTATTATAGTGAATGCTTCTTGATGATCTAGGCCCCACGAGCATTTTACCCCCTTTTTAGGAGATTATAAAGTGGGCTTAAAACAGACGCTGCGCTTGGTACAAACTTTCTATAATAATTTACTAGGCCCAAAAACGATTGCAGTTGGCTTATATTTGATGGTGACTTTTTCAACTCATTTTTATTGATAACATAAACCAAGTAGCTAACCTCATCCTTATAGAACTCGCACTTATCCCTTTGCAAGGTCAATCCTGCTTTTTTTATAGAAGAGTGGGCAAAGGAGCATGCGGCTCACCTGATGTTAAGTGACTACCGCCGCCCATGATCAACCGCAATACCAGGGGAATTGCAGGTGTGTTGCCGGCCCTTTAGAAAGGAGTAAAGTCTTTTCTTGAAGGTCCCCAGGTCGTATTGGTCCGGAAAAATCGCCGGTGGTAAACTATTCCAGAGAGAGGTCGTACTCGGAGGAAAACTCTTTGTGAAACGTACAGTCGTGGACCGCCAGGCATCCAGATGGTGTGAATGGTATAGGGACGTTTGCCGCGTAGTGCGTTCACGAAATTTGACGGCTGGGATTAATCCGAACAATTCCTCAGAGCGCTCCCCATAGTATATGCGAAAGAAAATCCAAAGAGATTCAACATATCTTCGCAACGCTAGTGAATCGAGCCGATCGGAAAGCTTTCGGTCGTCGACGATTCGAGCCGTTCTGCGCTGGATGAGGTCAAGTGGAAGGAAGGAAGGAAGGAAGGAAGGAAGGAGCTGATACTGGGGAGCCCCAGCCCAGAGATGGGAACAGTATTCCATGTGCGGCCGAACCTGCGCCTTGTAAAATTGCAGGCGGTGTGCCAGCATGAAATACTGTCCCGCTCTGCTGAGCACGCCAAGCTTTTTGAGGCCAATTTGGCCTTCTCTTTCAAGTGACCACGAAACTGCACGTCGCTCGATATGTCGACGCCGAGGTATCCGATGCTGGCTGAGGCAATAAGAGGAGTGCCTTGAAACTGAGGAGATACGACAAAGGGGTTCTTTTTAGCGGTTGACGCGCAAACTTGTGTCTTCTGGGGGTTAAACTGGACTAGATTTAGTTGCCCCCAATCCGAGACTCTGTTCAACAAAGACTCGACTTCAGACACAAGTTTGTCCCGGTACTCGGAGACGTTTTCCCGAGAAATATTAGCACGGCCGGTGTACAGAGCATCACCAGTGCTGTCATCTGCATAGCAATGAATGTTACGGGTTTGCAATATATCATTGATATGCAGAAGAAACAGCGTTGGCGATAGCACGCAGCCTTGTTGAACACCAGCATTAATAGGCTTGTAATCGGAGCTTGCACCGTCTACAACGATCTTGATGCTCCGATCTGCAGGAAAGCTGGTGATCTAATTGCACAATTTCTCGGAAAGCCCATAGGAAGGGAGCGCTTTTTGCCAAACCCGATCGAAGGCCTTCGCAATGTCCAAACTAACGGCCATTGGGGGAGGCCCCTTGGACTCTACTGCCTCCACCCATCTATGAGTTAGGTAGACTAGATCACCAGCTAATCGACCCCGGCGAAAACCGTATTGGCGATCACTAATCAGTTGGTGATTCTCAAGGTACCTCGTGAGCTGGCAGTTTACAATGGACTCCATTGTTTTGGAGAACAAGGAGGTGATGGCGATAGGCCGGTAGTTGGACGGGTCTGAGCGGTCGCCATTTTTAGGGATCGAGTGGACGAAAGCCGTCTTTCATGATTTTGGAACTACGCGTAGGGAGTAGGAGTACCGGAAAAGACGCGTTAAAACCGGTGCCAACTCTGGAGCACACGTCCTCAGCACAATTGAGGGGATTCCGTCAGGCCCACTCGACTTGTGGATGTCCAGGGAGAGGAGTGCTTTGCGAACCGAGCGCTGTGTGAACTGCACTTCTGGCATGGAGCACTCACACCGCGGGATGGTCGGCGGTGTACTCCATCCGTCATCGAGAGTCGAGTTGGACGCAAAGAAGGAGCCTAGCAGATCGGCTTTCTCCTTTGCGGTATGGGCCAGTGAGTCGTCCTCCCTGTGCAGAGATGGAAGAGATGGCTGACAGAAATTCCCCTGGACAGCCTTGGCGAGAGACCAGAATGCACGGGTTCCAGAAGGAAGGCGAACTAGTTTCTCGCTAATTCTGCCTATGTGCTCTGACTTTGCCTTGGCAATGACTCTTTTGAAGGACCTGGAGGCGGAATTATACTTCTTTTTTAGAGCGCTGGTATTTACATCTCGGGACGTTGATGCGTCAGCATAGGCTTGGTAGCACTCCTGCTTATAGCATGATGCTATTTTACAGGAGAGACCAAACCATGGCTGAGATTTGCCTCCGATTGGCACAACAGAGGAAGGAATAAATAGTTCCATACCCTGAAGTACCATATCAGCAACAGAATCCGCAACAACGTTGGGATCGTCCGGCGAGAAGCAAACCCGCCCCCAAGGGTGGGATGCAAAGAAAGACCGCATCTAATCCCAATCAGATGACCTATAGTGCCAAACACGGCGACAGCCTGCAGAATGCAACTGCGATTTCAGCGTGAGTGGTACCACACTTCGGACAAAACAATGGTCCGAAGAGCCTAAAGGGGCGTCGACGGAAATCTGATATCCGTCCGGGTGAGAGGTCAGCAGAAGGTCCAACAGTGAAGGTGCATGATCCTCCACATCTAGAATCCGCGTATGCTAAGTAAGCAGTTTTGTCAGACCATATGCCAAGCAAAATCATGAACAGATCTTCCCGCATGATCGGTTAAACGTGAACCAAGCTATTCGGCGTGATGGGCGTTAAAATCGCCGAGGATCACGATCTCTGCGGAAGGGATCTGTTGTAGCATTGGATCTGTAGCCATTTGTACGTGGTCGAAGAGTCGGTCTATTTCGGCATTACCGCTATGGGACCTATAGAGGCACCCGTAGACGCACGGATGGTCGTCGCTGTCTACGCGTAGCCAAAGGATGGACAGGTCCGAACCTTCAAGACTGCCGAGGCGTTGAGAACAGATGTCTTCTCTGACGTAAACGCAAACTCCAGCTCGAGGCACAAAGGAGTGTTCCAGTTTGTACCCCGGGTAGGAGAGATACGAGACATCAGCCGGAGAAGACACCTGCGTCTCTGTCAGAAAGAGCAGAGCCGGCCTCGCCGTCTCGAGATGGTAGTGGACGGCGTTTAGGTTAGAGTGAAGTCCCCTGATATTGCATAAATTCACGCGTTCATAGCGTGGGAGGGGTCGTCTTGGTCTTGTTGCTCCGTTTGCCCCGAGCAGTTGTAGTCTTGAGCGGAATTTTGCCTCCCCCAGAATACGCAGGGCAGCCTGAGCACCCACGCTCGGGAGTGGAGAAACATCGTCGTGGATGCTCAGCGAGGGATTCTCCAGGGGTGCTGGTACCTTCATGGGGTAGTCTATCATTTAATTCCGCTATCACATTGATGGGGGGGGGGGGATTTGGGCAACCGGCCACCTGCACTCACCAGACGAAACGCGGAAGCAGAGCTTCCACTTCACGCCGGTGTTCTGTGAGGTCGTGGTACCACCGCGGTTTGAGCCGGCCCATAAGTGCAACAGCAAAGCTGCCGCGTGGCTCTACCACTATTAAAGATAGAGTTAAAGATAGAAAGATATTATGCTTCTTTTAATGTCTGCAACACCGCCCGAAGGCGTGCAGCGTGCTCGGCGTCGTCACGCCCCATCATGAGCACGTCATCCAACAAACACAGCACGCCCTCCTGTCCACCTACCAGGCCCTCCATCGCGCGCTGAAAAATTGCTGGCGCTGGAGCAAGCCCAAAGACTAGCCTAGTATACTTGTATAATCCACGATGAGTATTAACATTACAGTGTACCTTTATGACTCGTTATCCAGCTCAAATTGGTTATAAGCCATAGATAAGTCTAATTTAGTGATTTTTTTTCACTATAAAGCTTTGCAAACAATTCCTTGGCAGTTGGCGGAGGATACTGGTCCATAATTAATTTCCTATTAATACTAATCGAGTAATCGGCACTCATGCGAATTGTGCCATTTCTTTTTAAAACAGAGACTATAGGGGACGCGTAGTCTGCATGGGCAACCGGTTTTAATACCCCTAACTCAACCATTTTATCTAGTTCACTGTTTATGTTATTCCGTAGGGCAAATGCAATCGGTCTCGCTTTAAACAAAATTGGCTTTGCATTATCTTTTACTTTAAGTGCACCTTATGTTTAGTAAAACGACCTAATTTATCCGAAAAAAGAACTGGAAATTGACATTGCAGTTCTTCCACGGAGGAAAGGGTACCCTGACTGTAATTCACAGTTGATAAAACTGATGATAACTCTAATTGGAATGTAGATATGAAGTTCCTACCGAGGAGCGGCGGCCCGCTGTTCCGGACGACGTACACGTCGAGCGTGTGTGAGCGGTTAGTATAGTACACGGGCAACCGAATTGTGCCTACACGTCACCAATGTTATGTATACGTCAGGGAGCGAGTTAAATGGCCGGTAGCTTGCTATGCACTGGATTACAGAACATCACTTTGTGCATGCGTCTAACGCTCCACGTCCGCGCTCATGCCCGGCCAGAACATCACTACACACGCGCGCCTCGCGCTCCACGTCCGCGCTCATGCCCGGCCAGAACATAATTTCGCGTGCGCGCCTCGCGCTCCACGTTCGCGCTCATGCCCGGTCAGAACATCGATTCGCGCGCGCGCCTCGCGCTCCACGTCCGCGCTCATGACCGGCCAGAACATCACTTCGCACGCGCGCCTCGCTCTCCACGTCCGCGCTCATGCCCGGCCAGAACATCACTTTGTGCGCGCGCCTCGTGCTCCACGTCCGCGCTCATGCCCGGTCAGAACATCGCCCGTGCCTACACATGTTATGCTATCACCCATGTAGTTCATCAGCCTTTTATGCGGAACGATCAATGGAATATCTTTAAAATGAGATTTATATAATTTTACCGATATCACACTTACAGCGGAACCGTTATCTATTTCAAACTTAAACGCCGTCCCACGAATAAACACGGTCTCTACTTTACGGACAGACTAGAAATTGTGTTGTTCCCTGAAACCGACAATCTTCGGGTTAAAATAGATGATTTCGGATGTCTTCGTAGGGTACCTCCTGCACATCCTTGGGTAAGGCTAAATTCTCAGCGAGCCTATAGGTACTCTCCGAGAGTGTACTTAGCAAAATTGCTCTTTTTTTTCCCGCTCGGATCCGTTGTATTATTAATTTCATTTGCTAAGAACCACTGATTTATTCGGCTTTTATAAGTTTTCCACTCCTGTATATCGTGGTTAAAACTGGATAATATTCCAAAATGTGAATTAGCCACTTGTAATTACTTTTTACGCGGGTACTCGTCGCCAATGTTATGTATACGTCAGGGAGCGAGTTAAATGGCCGGTAGCTTGCTATGCACTGGATTACAGAACATTACTTTGTGCATGCGCCTAACACTCCACGTCCGCGCTCATACCGGACCAGAACATCACATCGCGCGCGCGCCTCGCTCCACGTCCGCGCGCATGCCCGGCCAGAACATAATTTCGCGTACGCGCCTCGCGCTCCACGTTCGCTCTCATGCCCGGCCAGAACATCATTTCGCGTGCGCGCCACGCGCTCCACGTTCACGCTCATGCCCGGCCAGAACATCGCTTCGCGCGCGCCTCGCGCTCTACGTCCGCGCTCATGACCAGCCAGAACATCACTTCGCACGCGCGCCTCGCGCTCCACGTCCGCGCTCATGCCCGGCACGAACATCACTTTGCGCGCGCGCCTCGCGCTCCACGTCCGCGCTCATGCCCGGCCAGAACATCGCCCGCGCGCCTCGTGCTCCACGTCCGCGCTCATGCCCGGCCAGAACATCGCCCGCGCGCCGCGTGCTTCACGTCCGCGCGCCGGCCCGGCCAGACCATCGCCCGCGCGCCTCGTACTCCCCGGCCGCGCTCATGCCCGGCCAGAACATCGCCCGCGCGCCTCGTGCTCTACGTCTGCGCTCATGCCCGGCCAGAACATCGCTTCGCGCGCGCGCCTCGCGCTCCACGTCCGCGCTCATGCCCGGCCAGAACATTGCTTCCCGCGCGCGCCTCGTGCTCCACGACCGCGCTCATGCCCGACCAGAACATCGCTTCGCGCGCGTACTCGTGCTCCATGTCCGCGCTCATGCCCGGCCAGAACATCGCTTCGCGCGTGCGCCTCGCGCTCCACGTCCGCGCTCATGCCCGGCCAGAACATCGCCCGCGCGCCTCTTGCTCCACGTCCGCGCTCATGCCCGGCTGGAACATCGCTACGCGCGCGCGCCTCGCGCTCCACGTCCGCGCTCATGCCCGGTCAGAACATCGCTTCGCGCGCGCGCCTCGTGTTCCACGTCCGCGCTCATGCCCGGCCAGAACATCGCCCGCGCGCCTCGTGCTCCACGTCCGCGCTCATGCCCGGCCAGAACATCGCTCGCGCGCGCGCCTCGTGCTCCACGTCTGCGCTCATGCCCGGCCAGAACATCGCTTCGCGCGCGCGCCTCACGCTCCACGTCCGCGCTCATGCCCGGCCAGAACATCGCTCACGCGCGTCGTGCTCCACGTCCGCGCTCATGCCTGGCCAGAACATCGCTTCGCGCGTGCGCCTCGCGCTCCACGTCCACGCTCATGCCCGGCCAGAACATCGCTTCGCGCGCGCGCCTCGCGCTCCACGTCCGCGCTCATGCCCGACAAGAACATCGCTTCACGCGCGTGCCTCGTGCTCCATGTCCGCGCTCATGCCCGGCCAGAACATCGCTTCGCGCGCGCGCCTCGCGCTCCACGTCCGCGCTCATGCCCGGCCAGAACATCGCTCACGCGCGTCGTGCTCCACGTCCGCGCTCATGCCTGGCCAGAACATTGCTTCGCACGCGCGCCTCGCGCTCCACGTCAGCGCTCATGCCCGGCCAGAACATCGCCCGCGCGCCTCGTGCTCCACGTCCGCGCTCATGCCCGGCCAGAACACCGCTTCGCGCGCGCGCCTCGCGCTCCACGTCCGCGCTCATGCCCGGTCAGAACATCGCTTCGCGCGCGCGCCTCGTGCTCCAAGTCCGCGCTCATGCCCGGCCAGAACATCGCTTCGCGCGTGCGCCTCGCGCTCCACGTCCACGCTCATGCCCGGCCAGAACATCGCTTCGCGCGCGCGCCTCGCGCTCCACGTCCGCGCTCATGCCCGACCAGAACATCGCTTCACGCGCGTGCCTCGTGCTCCATGTCCGCGCTCATGCCCGGCCAGAACATCGCCCGCGCGCCTCGTGCTCCACGTCTGCGCTCATGCCCGGCCAGAACATCGCTTCGGGCGCGCGCCTCGCGCTCCACGTCCGCGCTCATGCCCGACCAGAACATCGCTTCACGCGCGTGCCTCGTGCTCCACGTCCTCGCTCATGCCCGGCCAGAACATCGCCCGCGCGCCTCGTGCTCCACGTCCTCGCTCATGCCCGGCCAGAACATCGCCCGCGCGCCTCGTGCTCCACGTCTGCGCTCATGCCCGGCCAGAACATCGCTTCGCGCGCGCGCCTCGCGCTCCACGTCCGCGCTCATGCCCGGCCAGAACATCGCTTCGCACGCGCGCCTCGCGCTCCACGTCCGCGCTCATGCCCGACCAGAACATCGCTTCACGCGCGTGCCTTGTGCTCCATGTCCGCGCTCATGCCCGGCCAGAACATCGCTTCGCGCGCGCGCCTCGCGCTCCACGTCCGCGCTCATGCCCGGCCAGAACATCGCTCACGCGCGTCGTGCTCCACGTCCGCGCTCATGCCTGGCCAGAACATCGCTTCGCACGCGCGCCTCGCGCTCCACGTCAGCGCTCATGCCCGGCCAGAAAATCGCCCGCGCGCCTCGTGCTCCACGTCCGCGCTCATGCCCGGCCAGAACATCGCTTCGCGCGCGCGCCTCGCGCTCCACGTCCGCGCTCATGCCCGGTCAGAACATCGCTTCGCGCGCGCGCCTCGTGCTCCACGTCCGCGCTCATGCCCGGCCAGAACATCGCTTCGCGCGTGCGCCTCGCGCTCCACGTCCACGCTCATGCCCGGCCAGAACATCGCTTCGCGCGCGCGCCTCGCGCTCTACGTCCGCGCTCATGCCCGACCAGAACATCGCTTCACGCGCGTGCCTCGTGCTCCATGTCCGCGCTCATGCCCGGCCAGAACATCGCCCGCGCGCCTCGTGCTCAACGTCTGCGCTCATGCCCGGCCAGAACATCGCTTCGGGCGCGCGCCTCGCGCTCCACGTCCGCGCTCATGCCCGACCAGAACATCGCTTCACGCGCGTGCCTTGTGCTCCACGTCCTCGCTCATGCCCGGCCAGAACATCGCCCGCGCGCCTCGTGCTCCACGTCCTCGCTCATGCCCGGCCAGAACATCGCCCGCGCGCCTCGTGCTCCACGTCTGCGCTCATGCCCGGCCAGAACATCGCTTCGCGCGTGCGCCTCGCGCTCCACGTCCGCGCTCATGCCCGGCCAGAACATCGCCCGCTCGCCTCTTGTTCCACGTCCGCGCTCATGCCCGGCCAGAACATCGCTTCGCGCGCGCGCCTCGCGCTCCACGTCCGCGCTCATGCCCGGTCAGAACATCGCTTCGCGCGCGCGCCTCGTGCTCCACGTCCGCGCTCATGCCCGGCCAGAACATCGCCCGCGCGCCTCGTGCTCCACGTCCGCGCTCATGCCCGGCCAGAACATCGCTTCGCGCGCGCGCCTCACGCTCCACGTCCGCGCTCATGCCCGACCAGAACATCGCTTCGCGCGCGCGCCTCGCGCTCCACATCCGCGCTCATGCCCGGCCAGAACATCGCTCACGCGCGTCGTGCTCCACGTCCGCGCTCATGCCTGGCCAGAACATCGCTTCGCACGCGCGCCTCGCGCTCCACGTCAGCGCTCATGCCCGGCCAGAACATCGCCCGCGCGCCTCGTGCTCCACGTCCGCGCTCATGCCCGGCCAGAACATCGCTTCGCGCGCGCGCCTCGCGCTCCACGTCCGCGCTCATGCCCGGTCAGAACATCGCTTGCGCGCGCGCCGCGTGCTCCACGTCCGCGCTCATGCCCGGCCAGAACATCGCTTCGCGCGTGCGTCTCGCGCTCCACGTCCACGCTCATGCCCGGCCAGAACATCGCTTCGCGCGCGCGCCTCGCGCTCCACGTCCGCGCTCATGCCCGACCAGAACATCGCTTCACGCGCGTGCCTCGTGCTCCATGTCCGCGCTCATGCCCGGCCAGAACATCGCCCGCGCGCCTCGTGCTCCATGTCCGCGCTCATGCCCGGTCAGAACATCGCTTCACGCGCGCGCCTCGCGCTCCACGTCCGCGCTCATGCCCGGCCAGAACATCGCTCACGCGCGTCGTGCTCCACGTCCGCGCTCATGCCTGGCCAGAACATCGCTTCGCACGCGCGCCTCGCGCTCCACGTCAGCGCTCATGCCCGGCCAGAACATCGCCGCGGCTCGTGCTCCACGTCCGCGCTCATGCCCGGCCAGAACATCGCTTCGCGCGCGCGCCTCGCGCTCCACGTCCGCGCTCATGCCCGGTCAGAACATCGCTTCGCGCGCGCGCCTCGTGCTCCACGTCCGCGCTCATGCCCGGCCAGAACATCGTTTCGCGCGTGCGCCTCGCGCTCCACGTCCACGCTCATGCCCGGCCAGAACATCGCTTCGCGCGCGCGCCTCGCGCTCCACGTCCGCGCTCATGCCCGACCAGAACATCGCTTCACGCGCGTGCCTCGTGCTCCATGTCCGCGCTCATGCCCGGCCAGAACATCGCTTCACGCGCGTGCCTCGTGCTCCATGTCCGCGCTCATGCCCGGCCAGAACATCGCTTCGCGCGTGCGCCTCGCGCTCCACGTCAGCGCTCATGCCCAGCCAGAACATCGCCCGCGCGCCTCGTGCTCCACGTCCGCGCTCATGCCCGGCCAGAACATCGCTTCGCGCGCGCGCCTCGCGCTCCACGTCCGCGCTCATGCCCGGTCAGAACATCGCTTCGCGCGCGCGCCTCGTGCTCCACGTCCGCGCTCATGCCCGGCCAGAACATCGCTTCGCGCGTGCGCCTCGCGCTCCACGTCCGCGCTCATGCCCGACCAGAACATCGCTTCACGCGCGTGCCTCGTGCTCCACGTCCGCGCTCATGCCCGGCCAGAACATCGCTTCGCGCGCGCGCCTCGCGCTCCACGTCCGCGCTCATGCCCGGTCAGAACATCGCTTCGCGCGCGCGCCTCGTGCTCCACGTCCGCGCTCATGCCCGGCCAGAACATCGCTTCGCGCGTGCGCCTCGCGCTCCACGTCCGCGCTCATGCCCGACCAGAACATCGCTTCACGCGCGTGCCTCGTGCTCCATGTCCGCGCTCATGCCCGGCCGGAACATCGCTTCACGCGCGTGCCTCGTGCTCCATGTCCGCGCTCATGCCCGGCCAGAACATCGCTTCGCGCGTGCGCCTCGCGCTCCACGTCCGCGCTCATGCCCGGCCAGAACATCGCCCGCTCGCCTCTTGTTCCACGTCCGCGCTCATGCCCGGCCAGAACATCGCTTCGCGCGCGCGCCTCGCGCTCCACGTCCGCGCTCATGCCCGGTCAGAACATCGCTTCGCGCGCGCGCCTCGTGCTCCACGTCCGCGCTCATGCCCGGCCAGAACATCGCCCGCGCGCCTCGTGCTCCACGTCTGCGCTCATGCCCGGCCAGAACATCGCTTCGCGCGCGCGCCTCACGCTCCACGTCCGCGCTCATGCCCGACCAGAACATCGCTTCGCGCGCGCGCCTCGCGCTCCACATCCGCGCTCATGCCCGGCCAGAACATCGCTCACGCGCGTCGTGCTCCACGTCCGCGCTCATGCCTGGCCAGAACATCGCTTCGCACGCGCGCCTCGCGCTCCACGTCAGCGCTCATGCCCGGCCAGAACATCGCCCGCGCGCCTCGTGCTCCACGTCCGCGCTCATGCCCGGCCAGAACATCGCTTCGCGCGCGCGCCTCGCGCTCCACGTCCGCGCTCATGCCCGGTCAGAACATCGCTTCGCGCGCGCGCCTCGTGCTCCACGTCCGCGCTCATGCCCGGCCAGAACATCGCTTCGCGCGTGCGTCTCGCGCTCCACGTCCACGCTCATGCCCGGCCAGAACATCGCTTCGCGCGCGCGCCTCGCGCTCCACGTCCGCGCTCATGCCCGACCAGAACATCGCTTCACGCGCGTGCCTCGTGCTCCATGTCCGCGCTCATGCCCGGCCAGAACATCGCCCGCGCGCCTCGTGCTCCATGTCCGCGCTCATGCCCGGTCAGAACATCGCTTCACGCGCGCGCCTCGCGCTCCACGTCCGCGCTCATGCCCGGCCAGAACATCGCTCACGCGCGTCGTGCTCCACGTCCGCGCTCATGCCTGGCCAGAACATCGCTTCGCACGCGCGCCTCGCGCTCCACGTCAGCGCTCATGCCCGGCCAGAACATCGCTCGTGCTCCACGTCCGCGCTCATGCCCGGCCAGAACATCGCTTCGCGCGCGCGCCTCGCGCTCCACGTCCGCGCTCATGCCCGGTCAGAACATCGCTTCGCGCGCGCGCCTCGTGCTCCACGTCCGCGCTCATGCCCGGCCAGAACATCGTTTCGCGCGTGCGCCTCGCGCTCCACGTCCACGCTCATGCCCGGCCAGAACATCGCTTCGCGCGCGCGCCTCGCGCTCCACGTCCGCGCTCATGCCCGACCAGAACATCGCTTCACGCGCGTGCCTCGTGCTCCATGTCCGCGCTCATGCCCGGCCAGAACATCGCTTCACGCGCGTGCCTCGTGCTCCATGTCCGCGCTCATGCCCGGCCAGAACATCGCTTCGCGCGTGCGCCTCGCGCTCCACGTCAGCGCTCATGCCCAGCCAGAACATCGCCCGCGCGCCTCGTGCTCCACGTCCGCGCTCATGCCCGGCCAGAACATCGCTTCGCGCGCGCGCCTCGCGCTCCACGTCCGCGCTCATGCCCGGTCAGAACATCGCTTCGCGCGCGCGCCTCGTGCTCCACGTCCGCGCTCATGCCCGGCCAGAACATCGCTTCGCGCGTGCGCCTCGCGCTCCACGTCCGCGCTCATGCCCGACCAGAACATCGCTTCACGCGCGTGCCTCGTGCTCCACGTCCGCGCTCATGCCCGGCCAGAACATCGCTTCACGCGCGCGCCTCGCGCTCCACGTCCGCGCTCATGCCCGGCCAGAACATCGCTTCGCGCGCGCGCCTTGCGCTCCACGTCCGCGCTCATGCCCGGCCAGAACATCGCTTCGCGCGTGCGCCGCGCGCTCCACGTCCGCGCTCATGCCCGACCAGAACATCGCTTCACGCGCGCGCCTCGCGCTCCACGTCCGCGCTCATGCCCGGCCGGAACATCGCTTCACGCGCGCGCCTCGTGCTCCACGTCCGCGCTCATGCCCGGCCAGAACATCGCTTCGCGCGTGCGCCTCGCGCTCCACGTCCGCGCTCATGCCCGGCCAGAACATCGCTTCCGCGCGCCTCGCGCTCCACGTCCGCGCTCATGCCCGGCCATAACATCACTTTGTGCGCGCGCCTAACGCTCCACGTCCCGCTCATGTCCGGCCAGAATCTGATCAGCCGTTTTGATAGAAAACAAAAAAAAAAGTAACGTATTTAATCATTTATTTACACAGAGTAAAAATTAACAAATCAGTCCTCTCTCGTCTTCTTTAGTCATTTAAGATTATAACAAATTTCAGAGTTAGATTCGCTAGTTAATGTCTATTAAAATAGATAATTATCAACGTTTTGGTAAGAACTTCTACCATTTATCAATTACAATAACTAATCAGACCTCCTTTTTTATAAATTTAAGAAACTAAAAACAAATTATAATATGTAGTTTTTCAGTCAGTTAACATTTATAAAAATAGTAATGAGTCTCCTGTTTTATAAATTTAACAAAAAAAAAAATCTTTTTAAGAATTACTTAATCGAAATTTTTAAATTAGCTACGCAAGAAACATAAAGTTTTTAATGTGTCGTCTGACAGACAAGCCAAATAACCAGCTGCAGAAAAATCTCTTTCAGCTTCTACGCTGGTAGGGACTAGAGCATAAACAGTTCTCTCTTGTTACTTTAGTTCCATGAAGAAGAACTCGGCTTCATGAAGTTTCATTTCCTTTTTGGTCAATCACTCCAACAAACTAGCAGACGAAATTCTCTAGTCCTCTGGTTCATAAAATGCGGTCAAAGATTCCTGAAGTTCATCCTGTAATTTAGTATTCTATATCATTAACTTCATTAGTAGCCACTGTAGACGATCTTGAAGAATCTAAATTTGTAGTTGCTTGACAACTGTGTTGCGAATGCAATCGCTCAATGAGTGATTTAATTTCACTTCAAACAACACGTTTCGGTGGCAGTCTGTTCACTTTCATCATTGGCAAATTCTTCTGAATCTTCGTGGTATTTAGCATGATCTCTAAGGTACGACAAACATCCTGTCATATTCGTACTTCGGTCGGAAATGCGCTTCCTCAGGGCGCCAGCTAGGTTTTCTGCCAGTGGCGTTTTGAGTTCTTCTAGCTTACGAATCATAAAGTGAAGTGTGGTTTTTGCGATAGCCAAATCAGATTCGCGACGACATAACACCTCTACCAGTAGTTTCACAGGCTGGAAGACCTTATCTAATATAATAATAGAACCGTATCTTCTTCCGAATTCAAACAGTACTTCGGATCAGCATGAAAGCTTAGATTGATCAAAGCTTTGCTAACACATCGCTTGAGTTTATTAAATGTAAAAATCATGTCTGCGAGCTGCGGGCTTATCGATTAAACAATTTCCTGTCTTAGGCGTTGTAAAACTAAACGTTGTTTATAATAGCAAAACATTTGTATTGCTGTTGCTGTTATGTTGTCAAAATGTACTCTGATTAGAAACTTGTATTATGTATTGTATATGTATTGTGTAAGTCCAGAGATCCGTAGTCAAACATGTTCTCGATATTCGTGATTTCGTTTTTTCGTATATGTTTGGTATTAAAATGTTAGAAACCGTTTTTCTTGACGGTAGTTCATATCCCGGTATCCAACGTGCGAACTTTTTAAATGCACGTTCTTCAACTTACGGAAACTATTTTATTATTTTCTACGACGCTGTTGAAATCCGATACGAATTACTACTACTTAAATGTCTTTGATTAGAGTAAATGTATATTATGCTATCTTTTTGGAGCAAATGCAGATATAGTTAATTGTAGTTTTAACTTTATTATTTTAAGGTTTTGTATGTGGTAGAGCCCTGCTGCAGCTGTATTATGGTTGTGGCATGAATGAGTTGGCTCGGATGGACCACGCTCTCACAAAATATCAGCGTAAAATAGCAGCTTAATGCGGCTGTGTTTCGTATGATGAGTGTAGAGAACCGGAGACCCGTTTTACTGTTATAATCGAGACTTTCATCTTAATCGTCAGGGGTGACAACGCATCTGCATTTTGATTCTTAAACGATGTAGATGTCTATGGGCCACAGCATCCACTTACCATCAGGTGGACTGTGTGCTCGATTGTCACCCTTATCCTACAATAAGAAAAAAATGTGTTAAACTCGGTTCCGGTTAAGTCAATGTAAAGTACGGCCGTACTAAAATGGCCTCCTGAATATTGGCGAATCCGTCTTGACCCTGACATTTTTTGCCGGGAAAACGAGACATTACGACAAATACACAAGATGGAAAGATATAGATAATAGATTGTCAACTCCACAGTCGTTTTTAAGGTAAATGACCTTTCTTATCGCTGCTAGTTGGCCGTACTTTAATACAATTTACTTTACCTATCTATGGCTGTAAATAACGTAGTAAGTACATATTTGTTAATAAATAGCTAATACCCGGGACTACGCCCGCGTGAAAACAAATTTAAAAAAATACCGTTGTGTTGGGCTTTCTCAAAATCCTTTCTTTTACGGATCTACTTTTGTAGATATATTATATATAGAACCTACCGACTTCAAAAAAAGGGAAGTTCTGTATTCGACCCGTATTTCTTTTTAATTTCTTTTCATTTATTTATTTATTTTTACAAAATATAGTTATTAAATAACATCCGGCAGTACAAATAAATTTACAAAAGTTTTTCCATGTACCGCCGATTCGTAACTTCGAACATGTTCAATCGGTTCGCGTTGCGATAACTTAGGTACTTAATGACTCACATACATGGTGTGACAAAATAGCATAGCATACTAATGATAATGTTACAATTGTGTGTATCTATGCATATATTTATCTGTAGATTTGTATTTGTGTATATTGTGTGTTAGTAGATATAGTTTTATTTTTAGTATAAATTATTAGTAGGTGTTGTTCACAATTTGTCGATAAAATATAGTTTTAGCTTATATTTTATGATGTTTTAGTAAGTTCATTTTTAATTGCTTTTGGAATTTGGTACAAAAGAGCGGGAATTTGATAATGTAACCTAAATTTTCCATACATTTATATTTTGGTATAGTCATATATGGATTAAGGGCTTGTCGAGTAAGCTTTGTATATATACGGCTAATTTTTAACTCTTCCTTGTAATTTTCCAGCAATAATTGGTATTTTACTTTGTCGCGTACTGGTGATGAGAAAGACTATAAGGATTTGTTTAAAATATATCTGTGATTTTGAGAGGGGTGATACATTTAAGGATGTATGTATGTATACAGGTCTCATCAATGTTTGAGATTTTTGGAATTCTAAAAAACCAAGGAACCAATTTTGATTATATTTTACTAACTTAATCTTCACAAAGGTCGGTTGAAGTTAGTTATATATTTTTTAGGAAATAATATTCATATAATCTCAATAATTTAATCATACACACTAAGTAATTAACCCTTTGACTGGTAGAGACGTTTTTCAGTGTAATTGAAATAATAAGTCGAGTTTTCGGTTAATTGCACCTCACTTTATTTATAAAAAAATATTTAAAAAAATTATAAAAGAAACATGGTGGCATCAGGATTGCCACTGCTGGTACAGGGGATAGCATTATTGATCATCTTGATGAAGCAATTTGAAACAGGGTGTAATGCAAAGTGCTACTTCGCACCAATCACACCGTGTTTTAGACCTTTTATTGTTTACTTTGGTGCAGTAGTAGCGACAGCGTTTATATTCATCTGATTCCAAATCTTACTTCATGTGAAACTCCAAACTTCTGTTTTTGTCTTTCTCCACTTTGATTAACTTTTTTCGTGATGATTTGAATGGCCGTTTTCTAAAAGTTGTGTTATCCACCCACTCCCTTGAAAGAGCCAGCCTTAAGAGGATAGAGTAAGTCAGCTCAAATTCTAATTTCGCCCCCACTTCCCCGCGCGTCGTATGCTATGTACCGATATGTTTGTAATCACTAATACTGTAAGTAGAAAGGTTGTTAGACACTTATTTCATTAGGTTTATCATATTTATGCCTGTTTCTTAACGCCAAGCCAGCCGCTTCTTATTTTTATCACGGTTATTTCCCATTTTAATTTTACGTCGTACTGTTGCGTAATGTATATTCTGATCGTAAGCGACACAACTTCTCCCTTCAAAAGCCTAAGCGATACTAATGGGGCGACTGGAATCAAGCTCAAGACGCCGATAGTTTAGGTAATTTCTTTTTACAGTGAAAATAATGGTATTTAAAAAAAAGTAAATAACATAAGCACTGCTTTATAGTTAGTTCAGTTAGTATGCAAAGTTTCATGATCTTATTTAAAGTATTTTATGAATAACAGCGGTTTATTGTTTATTTTGGAGGTAACTTTGGATTTTTTTTCTATCGAGAAAATTTTACGAAATCGTGTTTTCGTCTAACATAATCATTAACATTAATCCTCAACTTTACCATATATTTATTTCAAAATTAATGCTGCAATATTTTCGGCATAACGAAGGATCTTGCTAAGCAATTTGACATTATATTTCCCCTTAAGTCTTTTTGTTTCATTCTGTTACGCGCTCGTGTATGTTTTGTACAAAATATGAGCGTTAGTAATTGCAATATCAACTAAAAAATAAAAAAAATCTCTTCCATCACTAGCGACTTTTTCTACCAACATTGTACTGTCCTCTTTGTTGATCAAAACCATCCACCCCTCCCATACGTGCTGTATATTCTGTTATTAGTACAGGGCACTTGATAGATTTTTAGTCCCATCTTTTTTGAGTCCCCTTACATTTCATTTTTAATTTTGGTTAGAAAGCCGCGCTCACCACAGTAACTGGCTTTGTGTTTTTCCAAATAGCAAAACCAACATATATATATTTACATAGTGATAACTAATTACATAACCCCACAACAATGAAATTCTTCAGTAGCACTAAAATATATATTCAAGCTATAGGGGCGAATTTTTAATTAGTGGTAGGTACGAAACTGGTAGTGGCAGCTCTATTGCCACCATGTTTGACGTCATTTTGCAAGAAAACTATGAAATGATTTGCTGAAATAATGGCTGGAATGCTTAGTATCGATCTTCGACTATAAGAATTATAATAATACGAAAACTGTGGCATTTTTCAAGAGATTTTTGTTGATTTATCGGTCGTCGAAAAATAACCTCAACACTAAACTTCGCCGTCGTCTGTCATAATTTTAAATGTCAACCGCCTGTTGTTTTGATTGACTAAAGGTACGTTCGAAAAATAGTTTAAAAATATTCTACCGATTGTGTGTTAATCATATATAGCTACCACCAACAAAAAAATGCTGCGATTAAAACATGTTAGGCCCGAAGCGGGAGACCTACGACCTTCTGACCCGACGTCTATCCACCCTATTTCTGTGCTTATACGGAGCTAATAAGTTCGCAAATCGCCTGGCACGCAAACAGAAGAAATACTTGATAATCCTAATTTTATTTTATTTATTTGAAATTAAATTAGAATAAATATAAAACAAACAATAGAAAGATCTAACTTACTTTATACACCTGTTTAACGTATGTCGAATTATAAATTTATCAATAAATCTATACCTACAAATAAATAAAATTTATTTATTTATTATATTTATATAGGTAATCATACAGCGTTTTTATCGTATTTACAATAATATTTGCCATAGTTGCCACGCTTGGCAAGCGGGTTGGCAACCACAATTTTTTTTGAAGTGAAACTTTACAGGGGGGGCTTTGATTGAAATGCTGATCCGCAATCTTTTTGTATGACGAAGGGTGGTGGGTGTAAATCCTATGTACGTACTGGGCATTCGGTCGATCATTCAAGTCGCAAACGCGGGGCATTACATACCATAAAGTATATAGTAGTACCATTACAAGATTACAACGGTCTTTTGTTCAAATACTAATATTATATTAATTTTTTTAAGACAGTTACCAAGGTAGACGTATTTATTTTAGTAAGATTGAGCAGAGCGCACTTCAGTAATAGCGCCATCTACTATGTTGTATAGCTAAAGATATTTTATCGAACAAACATTGATTGACTCTCAAGGTGGTATGTAGGATAGATGCTAGATGGCATAAACCTAAAAAAAAATTGCTGCCCATCTCCTGATTTGTTTCCATATGTCGCCTTTTCCGACACCCACGGGATGATAATCGGGTGGTGAATAAAATTACGTTCATTCTATCCTTATTTATTTCTATAATTTTGTTACCCATTTTTTTTTCAAATTGAGACGTAGGATCAGAGTCTGATTTCAAAGTCTATAATTATGTATGTCGTGTATTCTTAAGAAGTAAACATAATTTATATACATTTATAGAAAATTATTTTAGTTTATTTATTAACAATTATTTAAGTTGGCGATTTTCCTTCATGCTTAACTAGGCTTAGAACTAGCAGAAAAGTTTTAAATTCGAATTCTCAATTCAATTTCAAAATTCAACTCTATTAACCGCAGGTTTACCTGATTTGCACTAGCCGCTGATTCGGCTCCGGTGGAAGAAGTGGTCGGAATTGTCTTTTTTATCGAAGTGAAACCATATTTCACTAGCCTTACGCGACATTTTGAAAGTCTATATTAAAAAATGATTAAAGGTCTAAATCAACTTAAACTATACTATGCTATATTATATTTACACTTTACACATAATTGTCCGAATTACAACTACCTAATGCACAAAATACACACAAATATTGCAAATAAATGCACAAACGCAACGTCAAAAATTAATAACTTAATGGATGTTATTAGGTATCTTAGCGAATGATACGAGCACGAGCCACCAAGACCAAGTGCGTAATTGTTGCGTTCTAGAAAAAAGCAAATTCTAAACTTTCCATCCAAAATATAAAAAACATAAACATAAAGTTGCCTAAACCAAATATAATATGATCATACAAATGCAAGTCTTGTGTCTATTGTCCTAAAAATCATTTAAATTTGACAACTCTCACAACTACACAAACTTAAATTTTAACCATTTGAAATTCGACCATTTTGCTTTAGGTAATTATATCCAGATGTGCATTGCGTACCGTGTGAAACTAAAATTACCAAAACAAAAATCCTCTCTTTCTATATGAATTTATGATACCGTCGCAAGAACAAGAAACAAGGAAGGACATCACATCGGTTTAGTTCGTGGGCCGTGTTGGCATATCGTTCCGGTGTTTGCGTTTTACGTTTTACAAATCTAAGCCTTGTGCCTAATGAGCTAAGGATCATTTTAAATTTGATAACTCTCACAACTACACAAACTTAAAATTTAGGCAATTTTAACTATTTAAAATTCGACCTTATTGTTTTAGCTATATATTATATTTCGCAATGTGCACCGTTATGTGATAACTATCAAAACATCGCAACGATATCCATATTCGCTTCATCTCTTTCTATACTTATTTAAACTATCGTTGCAAGAACGAGAAGTGATGAATATCAACGTAGGTCATCAGTTAGTGGGCCTTTTTCAGTTTTGGGATATCGTTCCACAGTTTGCGTTATGCGTTTCGGTTTCGTTTTCGTACGTTGGTTAGGTATATGGTTTTGGTTGGATATGTGATAACGGTTTTGTACTTATGTTTATCGATATGATATGATATTTTATAACATAACGTTATTAGTTACGTTTTGATATATCGGTATCATGCCTAATTTTTAACCATAAAACTGGGTATACGATTATCAGCCTTGTAAGCAGTTTTTGAAACCGATTACGCTCACCTCTACCACGGTGGCGACCGGTGCCCGTCACGTCAAGCCATGTTTTGTGAGTAATAAGTTTTCATTTTTCACGGGTATGTAAACAAAAGGGTGTGATGAAAAAGGTGCCTCTGACTCTGAAGAGAGTGATAGTGACACGGAGATGTTCTATGTTAATACCGTAAGCGAGGGAAAAAAGCGCGGTAATTCGACTAAAGAATGGTTCGAAAGCGTGAAATGTATAACACAGAACTTTTAGTTAAAATAGATACTGGTTCTTTGATTAATGTTATTTCCAAGAGTGAATATTTGCGTATCGGTTTATCGATTAAACAACTTCGCTCGTTTTCAAAGTGAGTGTATTCCTTCACAGGGAACCGGTTACCTGTCTTAGGCGTTGTAAAACTAAACGTTGTTTATCATAGCAAAACATTTGTATTGCCGTTTATTCTCACCGATTTATGTTGTCAAAATGTACTCTGATTAGAAATTTGGATTACGATGAGTATAATTAATTGTATTAATGCAATTACTTCTCCCTTGCAAGAATCTGACCCCCGATTTCCCAGCCAAATTTCTCTTGGTCATCTATTTACGGCAGTCCAGAGACTAAATGGGTGGGATTAATTTACGTCGCCACTAAAGATACAAATGAAATATATAATATCAATTTGATTAACGTTCATTGGTTTTAGTTGTAATTTCAAAAGTGAAACATCCAAATTTGTCTATGGTTTACAGATTTAACAATTTTGGGTAGTTTTAGCTGTTAGTGTCAAAGTTTGATCATTACTGCCAGTTATTACAGTAAAACTTCATATACAATGTTTAGAAATTATAAATAGATATAATAAATAAATAATAAATAAATTTTGTCTGGAAGTGACACGCGAAAGGGCTACATATAGTCCATGAGAAAAACATTCAACGCTCAAGTCTAATTTGAATATATGACCTTGTTATCAGTTGATAGTTAAAAGGTTTAGAAATTCTACAGAATTTGCGTTCGCGTCGGTGCATTAATCTTCGAGATAATTAAGTCATTGACTTAATTCTCTCGCAGATTAATTACAATCTACAAGTAATTATGATCTACAAATAATTGTTTAGGGTATAATTCAAAATACGCGTAAAATAAGCGTCACCTACACTAGGCGAAGTATCCCACAATGGGGTAAAATATTGAAAATAAATAAAATAGCATTCAATAATTCAATTTTGTTTTACAGGAATACATCACGCGTATCAAAGACCATGTTGTCGGTATGGGCAACGTGGTCAGAGTGGGCCCCTTACAAAATGGCGAAGTTTATTTAGTAGAAAATAGTAAAACTCACACATCTACCAAGTCATATGCACTGCCTTTAAAAATATCCAATATTTCGAGAGGAGTTAAGTATAATATAGTTCCAAAGAATGCTTCTGACAAGAAATTAGTTTTGGACTCCCAGGGAAATATAGTAAGCAGTGCTGCTCACCTGCCTGATTACAAATCCACTCCTATTCTCAGTAGGATTGTAAGAGATAAACTTCAAGTTATGCGCATAGAATCAGATAGGATTAAGAGCGCGGTAGAACATGGTCCAATATATGATAAATTGCTTAAAAATTTGAGCGACTTGAATATGCCAGTCTCTAATGACGTTTACTTACAACCTATCAAGCTTTTCCGCGATGAGTATAACAAGAATCCTCAGTTTAGAGATGAGATCAATGAGTTTGCCAGTAAAGCTTTAGGAGCTCAAATAATGGCAGACTTATGGCCGGTAAGCAACAATAACGTAATGGCTACTGCAAAGTTACTTGATAGCAGGATACAGAAAGGAACCATTTTTGCACCAAATGGTGAGATATGGAGTTGGAAACATGAGCCAACCACTCCAGAACTGAGTGGCACAATATGTTCTACTAAGATTAATCCACAGTTTTCAACTTCGTCAAAACCGATGAACCAGGTTGAGCCTCAACAAACTGCGCCATTAAGGGAATATCTAAGAACACACTCTGAAGAAGATTTGCCTCCACCACCAATGCCTAACTATAGTACATACCCTGGAGCATTGCCGCAGTCAACCACACTTGTTGATTGCAACCCGCCTGAAAGACAATCACTAGAAGATTCTGGCCATACCATTATGCATCCCGTAAGCAACTATGCAAAGCAAATTGATCCAATACTTACACAGTTTGCTGATATGTCTTTAAGTCCTGCAGAAATGGAATTCAACAGAAAATTATACAATGAAGGAGTACCATGCCACCGTTGTTACAAACCTATGTTTGCTGGTGAAGTAGCAGTGAAAGCAGAGAGAGCGGGTCAAGAAGCAATTTGGCATCCACAATGCTTCACTTGCTGTAAATGTGGAGAATTGTTGGCAGACCTTGTGTACTTTTATTACAAAGGTGAAATCTACTGTGCCAGAGATTTGGCTAATGTTCTGGAGATACCGCGATGTGCTGGTTGTGATGAACTGATATTTACAAGGCCATATACAGCAGCGGAGGGTAGAGCATTCCATGTGCAACATTTTTGTTGCTACCACTGTGATGCACCACTGGGTGGTAAAAAATATGTTCCAGATGATAAAACGGGACTGCCAATTTGTTTGTCTTGTTACGATCAATATTACGCTGAGCGTTGTCGTGCTTGTAGTGGGGTTATTGGTCCGGAGCAGCAAGGTGTTTCATGGGGCAATATGCATTGGCATGCAGAATGCTTTATTTGTTCTGGAAGGATGTGTGGTAAAAGCCTCCTCAGTGGCCGGTTTGTTGTGAAACAAGAAATGCCTTTTTGTAGTGTTCCCTGTGTTCAGAGTAGAATTAAGTAAAAATAAATTTTCATTATTTATATGTTTAACGACTTTGATAGATTATTTTTTATATGATATTCTACATTAGTAAATAATTTTTATACATTGTTGATGTTGCGGCTGACAAAATCTACACTCTTGTGCCATTGAATATGGCTTAATTTTTTTATGAATTTTTGTAATATTACATATTAAGTACATTATGTATGGAGAATATAATATTTTTATATTATACTACCAAGTTGTATGTTTACAGTTAGATAATTATATAAAGTATTTTTACATTTTAAATGTGAAGGGACCAAGTCGGTATTCAAATATGAGACTAAATTGTGCTTTATGTATTACGGGATATTTATCTGTGATACTGTTGGAAATATTCTTATATGATACATTATCCGGACACTAACAAACACTATGATAGTATAATAATTACAGTAGTTCACTTGAATATATATAATGTAAATGAAGTAAACTTGAAATGTTTTGTATTTTTGTTTGGCAAGGTGGATAAAACCGTTTTTATTTTAAAACATTAAATCCTACAATAGGAATTTATTAGACTTGATTAGTGTGTAAGTAATCTAAATATTTATACTTAGCTATGTGTAAAAAGTAAATATAAATTACTCTCTGACACTGAAAATTTTGTGATAATTGTATTTACACATATATTTTTTTTGAAGTAATTCCTATACAAGTATTTTGTGATTATTATATTTCCACACAAACACGCGTGCATGACGCACGCACTCACACTCACACACACGCACGCGCGCGCGCGCGCACACACACACACACACACACACACACACACACACACACACAAACAGGAAATATGTGGGTTTAATATATGAAATTGGGTATTAGTAAGACAAAATATATGTCAGTGATATTTGGGTACAAAGAATTGTGCCATTACTATTAAATATTTGTATTTCTAGTAAATATTCCATATTTGTATAATAAAGATTCAACAGTAAAACTTGTTTTCTTTGTACATAAAATAACTAACGAACGATGTTAAGAGTGCCATGTGAAGGCGGCGTAAGAGAATTCCGCATAATATGATCCTGTGGGTGTTGTAAGAGGCGACAGAGGGAAATGAAACAGGAGGTGGGCATCTTCCTCACAACAACCGAAATATTGAGTTCAGCCATGGACTTATAGAATCCAATGAGGAAGTAGCTGGTGAATTTCAAGTAGCAAACCAGTAAAAACTATAGCTACTCTTTAAGTCTTCAACCACACTTGCCTATCAATATTTGACAGAATGTTGATGTTGGTACCAAAAATATTTATTGTAGTCATGTTGATATGTTAAAATAAGATTTTTAAATAAAGACTAATGAATTCCTGACTAATATTCCTGTTCTATCGCCACATTTAGCTTTATTAATTATTTAATCCATGTAGTGACAAAGGGGTATTCCTTACTTAACGTAGTGCCGCAAAGTTATACCACTTTAAAGAACCTTTTTTATAGCATTGGGTGACAAACGAGCACACAGTCCACCTGAAAGTAGGTGGATGTTGGGGCCCATAGACATCCACATTTATCCTCAATTAAGAATCAAGATACTAATGCGTTATCACCCCTGAGGACTACGATGGAATGTCTCGATTCCAGTGAAAAGGGTCTACGGTTCTCTATACTACGGTTCTCTACACCATACGAAACACAGCAGAATTGGTATTCTGTAACAACGTGGCCCTGCACTGGTTCAGCTGACCCATTCGTGCTACAACTAATATAGCTGCAGTGTGACGCTACCACTTTAGCCCTGTATCAATTCTTCCAGCATTAATTTTAGCAGTTGAAATGGTAATTCTGAATCAATGGCTTTCCTTCTTTTACATAAAATACTTCATCAGCATTAGTTTGGAATTACTAAAGCGCGTTCCATAACTGATGCAAGGGTGTGTTTAATTCAGCACATTTATAGCGCTTGGGAGAATTCACAAAGTGATATATCGCTTTTGTGTTTCATCCAAAGCATTTATTGCGTAAATTTCTCAACACCACTTAAGAAATTAAAATATTATGGCCTCACCCTTGATAAATGGGCTCTTCGTTTGTTGGATTCTTACCAATAGGATTGGGATGATATTCGGATTAATGGTGTAAGTTCAGTAGGTTAGGTAGTAAAAACGAGTGTACCACAGGGGTCTATTCTTAGCCCCTTCCAGTTTCTCATCTACATTAATGATTTACCATACTTAGTTTAAACGCTCACCGACATTGTAATGTATGCAGATGATAGTTTACTGAAACTTAAGGTTAACTGGAAAACTGAGACCGATGTGATGAATAATGCTCTAGATACGGTTTCAAATTTATTTCGTGCGAATAAACTAATAAAACCAAATGTAATGGTTTCTTATATTTACTGCGAACACTACACATTGAAATAATAAAAGTTTTTACGGAATTTATCGCGTATATTTAACTTTTTAAATACCCGACGTTTCGAGAGCTTTACAGCACCCATGGTCACGGGAAGGACTGAGATGTTCAACGTCCAGATATCATAGTTAACCGCGGTTACCATAGATCGGAACAAAAGTTAAATTTTAATCAATGGGAACCGCGGTTGACTATGACATCTGGACGTTGAACATCTCAGTCCTTCCCGTGACCATGGGTGCTGTAAAGCTCTCGAAACGTCGGGTATATAAAAAGTTAAATATACGCGATAAATTCCGTCAAAACTAGTATTATTTCAAAACCAAATGTATTAAATTTGCGTTACCTAATGTAAAAGAACGGTCAAATACAATTGCCTTGCAAGGTGACAAATTAGACTTTAGGTATTAAAAAACCGTAGGTAAATTTCAAATCAGTGATTTTGATTTTGGATTGCGATAGGGTCCATACTTAGAAACTTTAGCTAATATACTCAGCTCAGCGGCTTATGCTGTTGGAAAGATTCGTCCACTAAGGATTAATTTAGTTACTTTCGCAACATAATGTCTTAGGGTATTTTGTTGTAGGGACCAGTGGCGACGACCCTAGGGCGGTGCGACAGCACCGGGCGCCGTCATTTGGGGGCACTAAAGTCAACAGAAAGTAGTGTTTCCTGGCACCGGTCACCAATTCACTCACTCTTATCACTAACTTTCCGTTTTGTTGACGTTTAATTAGGAAGTCAAAGCACGATTATTTTGTAGCCAGTAATAAGTAACTTCAGAAGAAGGATTTACTGGCCTCTTTCTTGATGCAATTGTACAAGTGTTTGACTTAGACATGAATAATTGTCGAGGTCAAGGGTAAAATTAAAGGTGTTCAAACCAGAATTTAACTCAATATTTTTCAATTTTTCATTTTTTTGGCATTTTTCAATCCATGTGGTTGAAGTTATTAGAACTTAATTTGCTCATATTCGCGTAATAAAATAAAACTATGTGTCCTACCCAGTCCGAAGAGCACCTCCCAACCCCCCTCAATTGCATGCACCATCCCCGTTACTCCCACTCCCGGCACCACCACACCCAATACCACCATACTAGGGACGACACACCATCCTCGATAATACGATACGTGTTTCGCCTCTACACGAGGCATCCTCAGGTGAAGTAGAATCTGCGGAGGCTGTAGGCTAAGTGAGCGGCGTGCCGAAACAAATGCTATGTGTATAAATAGCAACTTGTAGAGAGCGGAGAGAGTGCTACGAGTGTTGGTGATGGGATAAGTGGTGACGAAGATAGTGTCAGCCTCCGCGGTCTACTTCATCTGAGGATGCCTCGTGTAGAGGCGAAACACGTGTCGTATTATCAAGGGTTATGTGTTATTCCCAGTGTCGCGGTGTTGGGAGTAGTGATGCTGGGAGGATGGATGGCGCTCTTGTCTGCCCCTTAAGTGATAATAAAAATGCCCTCCAGACCACATTTCGGTCACGGCGGCCAGCCTCAACGTTGACTAGCATAGGCGCAGGACAGGATCATAGTGCCCAAGTATATGCGCAAGCACAGGTCACTCTCTATTCCCTCACGCTTATAATCCGATGGGACGGTAAACCGAAACGATCGGAGAAAGATCAGTTGCAGGAAGTTTATGTTTACGTGCTTTCTGAGGCATGGAGGTGAGACACCGCCAACTTCCCGACTCAATTCAATAATTGATTTTTTGGCCCGACCCGGGATTCGAACCTAGGACCTCATGATCAGCAGTCACACTATTACAACCATTAGACTAACGAAGCATTCTAGTATTCATATAACTATAAGTATATAATAATAAAGGACCACGCTCTCACAGAATATCAGCGTAAAATAGCAGCTTAATGCTGCTGTGTTTCGTATGGTGAGTGTAGGGAACCGGAGACCCCTTTTACTGGAAACGAGGCATTCCATCTCAGTCCTCAGGGCTGGCAACGCATCTGCATTTTGGTTCTTAATTGAAGATAAATGTAGATATCGTTGGGCCACAGCATCCACTTACCATCGGTGGACTGTGTGCTCGTTTGTCACCTTAACTATAAATTTTATTACCACCTTATTCTATAAAAGAAAAGCACTAAGCTCGAAGTTGTTGACGAGTACAGTAAAAATAGTCCGACTAGGTAAGTTCAACTTCAACCGAGAGGTCAATCGACAGATTCAACTCGGCTGGGCAGCATTCGGGAAATTACGACACATCTCGTCAGGCATACCTCAAAAACTCAAAACGAGATTATACAATCAGTGTGTGTTGCTAGTGATGACTAGATCTGAGACGTGGTCCTTCACTGTTGGTCGTATGAAGCTCAAGGACGCTCAGCGGGCTATGGAGAGGGCTATGCTCGGAGTTTATTGGCATGATAGACTTAAAAACGAGGATAACTGCAGTAGAATCAGAGCAACCGATACAGTTCTACGAATTAGTAAGGTGAAGTGTCAATGAGCCGGCCATATAGCTCGAAGAACCGAATATCAATGAGGAAGAAAGGTTCTCGAGTGGGAGCCTTGGACCGGCAGGCGAAGTGTAGGGCGTTCCCGCACTAGTTGGAGTGACGACCTGGTAAGACATGCAGGAAGTC